ACCCCACTATGCCCCGCTTTCCCCGGTCACCCCTATATAACACCTCAAAATTCAACACTTAAGGATAATCGGGCGAGCTGGGGGGGTTGCAAAAAAGCAGCCATTTTTTTTACGCATTCTTTAAATGATGGAAAAGGCGTGTGCAAAGTTTCAGACTGCTGGGGAGCATGGTTAATTTATTATGAATTTTTGAAAAAGTGGCCATTTAACCTGTGATCTTATGGAAATCCCCAAAAAAACTCCAAAACCCAAGGAAAAAATGCAGCCACAGTCATGAAACTTCATACACATTTAGAAAATGTGATCAGTGATGTTTTGAGTGAAAAAGATTGTCGCCTAGGAGCATTGTTTATTAATAATAGCGAAAAAAGTACTGAAAAATAAATTCTCTGCGCACGCAGCCCAAACGAGCAGCAACCCAAGTAGCAAACCTTGCGAAAGATATCTGAAAGTATACCAAAAAGGCAGACTAATGTCCGTCCAATAGGTATCTTGCAGTCATACGATAACTTTTAGTTAACTTCTAGGTAACTTCTAGACACAAGTTACCTTTTTGGACAGACATTAGACAGCCTTTTTGGTATACTTATAGATACCCTCCAGAACTGTGCTGCTTGGGAAAGTCCCAAGTACCGATCGGGTGGGGGTAGCGCGGTCAATTTAAACGTCTCTTGAGAGAGAGCGATGAAGCGTTGTGATTGGAGCTCCCTCGAGCCAGTGGTACCAGCTCTTGGTGAAAAAAAAACTACCGACGATGTTGCCACTTTTTCGCGTGGATTAATATTTTTTCATTTATTAAAAAAAACAATCTGAAAACCATTCAATGCGCGGAACAAATAAATTTGATTAGCTCCAAAAATAATTTTTAACCGGAGATACTCCCTAATATTGCCTGAATTTTGAATCCGAATGGGACAAATTTTTTTGTTCAGGGATTGGTTTTCTGCAGGAAAAAAATTGAAACCCTTCCGTCTCACCTCCTACATTTCCTCGCCGGATTATGCTTAAATTCGAACGATTACAAAGCCCCCATGAGGAAGCAAAATGTTCATTTTGCCCACCTTCTCCTATTTTTCACTTTCACTTGTTGACTTATTGAAAGAAAAATTGCTGAATTAGTTAATTTTTCCCTGAAATATTTCGGTTGAATCAAAGTTCGTGTTTCGCCGAGGGTGTACCATAAATTTAGTGGACTCGTAGGTTCATAGTTGTGTGTGTGTAGGCTAATTACGTCGTCCGGGGTGAATGGTTGTGGTCGTTCGGTGGGTCGGCGATGGCGAAACGATTAGATTAGATCGAATTAATGGCCCTTACGGGCTTCAACCCCTTCCCCTTCCTTCACCGAGGAACTATAACTAGAGTGTTTACCCTTGGAAGGTGTACATAATATGGTTTTAATAAAAAGTAGGATTGAACTCAGAAATAATTATATAATTACATAATTCCTCTTGATTTCAATTCAAATTTTCACGACATAAGCGAACACTTACAATTAATCAGAAAAGTGACCGCGCGTTTCTTATATTATTTATTTAAAGTGCTGGAATCCGTAATGTAAGTTATTATACACTGACAGAATGTTACATTTTTTATTGAAAAAAAAAACAGTTTTTTTTCGTCAACTTAAATTTGTAAATTATAATTTAGAAAAAAAAATGTTTTCCTCGCGTTGATGATGAAGAAATTATCCGTCGCAATATATTTTGTTATAACAGATATCTCTCGAGTCAAATAATTGAGGCTTAGATTCGACTAATGACATCAGCTGACACAGAGGCTATTGTGATCTCACTCGGACCATCTGATCCATTATTACCCCTTAAGCCAGCTTGACCCTTTGGTCTCTTCAGCCCCGAAGAATCCTCGAAAATTGACCAGCTGTATTGGACAACAAAACGTATTATCCCTTTCGGTAAAAGGATACATCCGCTCAGTTTTATCCCATCTATTGCGTCATGACGCGTTGACCTTTTGTTCCTGTTGATATGTTTCGATTTTACAAATTTTTTATTTTCATGATCAGCACTTCGGAACATCAAGAGTGATTTCAATAGCAAAAATTATTCGAAAATTCTTCAGTAATGGAAATACAGCGTCTTATTAACTTCTCTAATTTTTCCTCAGTTCATTGAATAATGTATTTCATTATTATACATATCACCATATTGATTCATCGTCTGTGTCTTACGATATGTGAAAAAACAATCCTTATTTGGATCATAATAAAGGAATCATCGGAAACTGTATTCCAAATCACTGATACTGATTACTGTGCTATATATTCATACACTTAAAAAAAAATACTTCTGATCAGTAGAAAAAGTACTTTTGCCCAGTACCAAGGGGTTTCTGGGAAAAGGCAAATTTTGTACTTCCCCAAAATCACAAAAGAACTGGATGCAAGTATCATGCGTCAAGTACCTGGGTACTGGTCAGAAGGTGCACGAAGTAGTATATTTCGTCATTAGGCCAAAAAAAACTTTTCTGGCGAATATGAGGTTTGCAGCACGAGCCGACGGTGAGGGCTGCAATCATATTTGTCAGAAAAGTTTTTTTTGGCCGTATGACGAACAATATTCTTTGTCCGCTTGCTCCGCTTCGCTTCGCGTCCGTGAATCTCTGCCTACGGCCGGAATGACAAAAAAATTTAATAGAAAAACTTGACGAATTCGTTAGAAAATTCTATTGGATTTCTATTGAACTTTCTATTAGTTTTTGACCGATTCTATTGAAATTTTCAATAGAAGTTATTCAATAGAAAAAGATAGAAACAATTCAATTTTTCTATATAACTTATTCTCTTCATAATTTCTATAGAATTTCCACAGCGCAAATTTTTAAAGTTTTTTTACTCTATTTTTCTTTTGTTCTTATCAAGATGATCAAACAAAAAAAAGAAAATTTGAGCCGAGGAAATTCTATAGAAAATATCTCAATAGAATCAGTTGTATAGAAAAACCGATTTTTTAAAATGTTTTCTATAGAGTATTTTTAATTGAACATTAATAGAATCGTCCAAAAACTAATAGAAAGTTCAATAGAAATTCAGTAGAATTATCTAGCGAATTCGCTAGCGTTTTTTATTAAATTTTTTCATTCGTGAAGTACCCCGGTACTTGTCACAGGTACTTTTGTTACACGGGACAAGTAAAAAAAGTACTTGTACTGAGTACCTGGCTGGTGCTGTTCAAAAGTACCACCAAAATTCAATACAAGTCGCAATAGTACTCAAATCCAGTACTCATGATTTTTTCAGGAATTCATTCAAGATTACAAATGAAGATCCAAATGTTGGAGGACAAGTAAACACGAAAAATTTGAATGTAAAATACGTTTTTGAAATGTTAAGTCAGGTTTTCAAAAACGTAATTTACGTTTTTCTCAAAGGGGTAAATTACGCTTTTGAGATCGTAAATTACGGTCAGAATAACGTGAATTACAATTTCAAGAACGTGAATTACGATTCTCAAAATTGGATTTAAATTTGGTTTGGAAAGCACCCATAAAAATCACAATCTACTGATTTTTTCCTACAAAATATCTTCTCCTGAATACATCTATTTACAAAAATCCGCAAGGCAGTCCATTTTATCCGTCGATAATATTCGCTTTTCTCAATGAAGTAGTCAATTGAAAGTACTGAAATTAAGTCATAAAAGTACTTGAGAGAAGTTCTAAAATTACTTGCCACCGGTACTTGTGAAAAATACTAAAAGTACTAGCAGAGAGTAGGGGAGGGTGGGATAAAATGGACACTAGACTTTTTAAAAATTATTCATAACTCAGAAACCAATTGATCAATTGAGCTCAGTTTAGGCTCGTCACGAAGGGAAAGAATTGTTTTTTGTATTAAAAAAAAATTATCATATTTTATCAACATTTCAACCCCTAATTGACATTTTAAAAAAAGTCAAACGTGTCCGTTTTACCCCAACCTCTAGTGAAGCTACTTTGTCCCAGGACTACTTCTACTTGATCGGCAGAGATGGTACTTCACTCAAGGATTTTTTTCTAACATTTTAACGGTCTTTATTAACATATATAACAATCAAGTACATCGAGTAACAGTATCACAATGGGCTTGGACTTAAAAAATAGTTAGTACAGTTTCAGCCCGAAGGCTATTACATGTATTTAGCATAAGGAGTGCGAATTACTCAAGGATACAAAAAATACTCGAAACAAGTATTTTTCGAACGTTTCACAAGTGAACTTCCCCCCCAAGTACCGGTCGGTGCTGGTGAGAAGTACATTTTTCACACCCCTGCACAGAAAATTCATACCTTTCCTCCCGCTTATCAAAGAGCAAAGTACGAACTTTCCTTTGCAGGCGTGTTAAAAAATCGCATATGCACCTTGGGCGGAAAATCTTGACTTTCCGTCCTTGATGCACAATATATACTATTGGTAATGTGCTAATATAGCAACTCCAACGAATTTTTCGAGGAAGCCGAATTATTTCATCATCCAATACAAATAGAAATTGAAATCAGGAAAAAAATTGAGTCGGACTCAATTAGGTAAATAACTTGAAGGGGGTGACTGGGTCAAATTTTGGCCTTTGTGGGGTTCATACCAGCTGCGTCCCCGTCGCGAACCCTGGGTAATGCTAAGTACTGGTGAGACTTGATACTTTGAAAAATAAGTGCTTCACTACACATTGAATTTATATGAACACCTCATAATTGAAATTTCATAAACTGCTTTTAGAAGGGAAAGCGCAGAAAGGGAAGTCCCGTACATCTACATGACCATCCACGTTATTAAGTGTGATGGCCCAAAGGAGGTTAAATTAATTTATTGCAACTAGGTTCCGACAAAATATACGTTAAATTACTTCAAGTTCAATATCAAAAAGTTGATATTTACCTATCAGTATCCCGAATGAGTAGGAGGTGCTATTCTACCTAATTACCATACTATTTTCTTTGGGTGTAATAGATCGGTATATGACAGCCGAAATGTTGCAATTATTCACGATAAATATTTTCGTGTTGCAGTGCCCAAGCCCCCACCGAACAACGGAGATTACAATACTGTGCAAATGACATCAGTGCCATCGAACTACGCATCGCCATCGGGCTCCGTAAACTGCCTGACCGTTGGGAACTTGCCCGGAATGTCCGCCGGCTTCAATAACACAGGCCGAACAAATTTTACAAACAAACAACTGACGGAACTGGAGAAAGAGTTTCACTTCAACAAGTACCTGACTAGGGCGAGACGAATCGAAATAGCGTCCACCTTACAGCTCAATGAAACCCAGGTGAAGATATGGTTCCAAAATCGTAGGATGAAACAAAAGAAGCGGATGAAGGAGGGATTGATACCAAGTGATAGTGCAGTGGCGTCCGGTATTTGCGGCGCGCGGAGCACTAGTAACTCGCCGACAGGTTTAAATCTAGATGTTGGGGCATCATTTCTTCCTAGTTTTCCCAATGAAAATAGCAGGGAGTCGATGAATTCGTCGAAGGATTGATGCGTTCTCGTTGTTTTTTATATATATATTTTTTTGTTCAAGACTGCTCTGTATTTTTTTTCATATTTTGTATTCCAAAGAGTCTTTCGCGATTGTTTAAGTATCGATGGAGAAATATTCCCGGTGGAAATTACTATGCATATATCACAGTGAAAACTATTTAAATCGAATTGCGCATTAAGGGGCGGTTCACAACGGGAAAATAGTATATTTCGAGCCGAAGGCGAGTGATATAATCCTATGAGCCAAAAAACACTTTTCCCACGAGTATAGAACGATATTTTTCATCACAATGTGTGGAAAAGGGACGTTTTAGAAACGCTGTGTTAAAAAGTTACTTTTTCGCACAGCGTGATGAAATAGTATATTTCGTTACGAATGCGGAAAAGAGTTTTTTGCTCATGGGATTATATCACTCGCCTTCGGTTCGTGCTATAAACCTCCCACGAGCCAAAAAACACTTTTCCCACGAGTATCGAACGATATTTTTTATCACAATCTGTGGAAAAGGGACGTTTTAGGCACGCGAAGCGTGCCTGAAAAGTTACTTTTTCGCACAGCGTGATGAAAAAACTTTTTCGTTTTTCGAGAAAAAAAAATAAAAATACTACTTTTCGCGCGATTTTTCCACAGAAATCTGATTTTGTTGGTCATAATTGTCTCCTGACATTCAAAAGTGGATAATCGAATTTTTTTGAACCGAAAAATCGACTCAACGAAAATCGTCAACGTGTTTTTTTTTCGAAATCCTTTTTTGAATACAGTACAACCTCGTTTGTCCGGTGAGCTTGCGCGTTACCGAGGCAACGGACTTGCTCGGATAATATGAAAAAACTCGGATAAAACGGATGGAGCCGCATAAACTTTTTACAACACGTTTTGTGCGCTCTTCGATTGCGGGCTTAAAATTAACAGTTGGCCTTCAACAATCAATGAGCGAACATTGCCATGTTGCAAAAAAGGAAACAGCTCGCAGTCGTGATTACATTTTATTCTACCATTTCAAATACATAGAAAATGATTAAAATTTTCAATTTTTTATTTCTTCCGCGTTATCCGAGTTTTCGTTTATCCGAGGTACTCCTTCCCCATATTACCTCGGATAAACGAGGTTGTACTGTATGCTCTGAAACTTTCGCTCCTTAAGTATGAAAAATGCGGGAGAAGCTGCATTTTTTAATCTATTCGTTTTTCAAAATTTTTATTAACACGCACGAAAAAATTTAATAGAAAAACCTATCGAATTCGTTAGAAAATTCTATTGAATTTCTATTAAATTTTCTATTAGTTTTTGGCTGATTCTATTGACATGTTCAATAGAAAACATTCAATAGAAAAAGTCAACAGAATTCAATTTTTTTTAACTTATTCTTTTCATATATTTTCTATAGAATTTGCTCGACTCAAATTTTTAAAGTTTTTTCCATTCTATTTTTCTTTTCTTCTCATCAAGAAAATTAAATGAAAAAACTTGGAAAATTTGAGCCGACGAAATTCTATAGAAAATATCTCAATAGAATAACTTATATAGAAAAATTGAATTCTATTGACTTTTTCTACTGAATATTTTCTATTGAACATTTCAATAGAAGCGGCCAAAAACTAAATATCGAAATATTGCAACTGCATAACAAAAAATTATGAAAACAATCAATACTTGAAGATTGACGATTCTTTAACGCGATTTGAGTGAGTTCATTTGCAACAAAATCATACTTGAGTACAAGAATATTTTAAAACATGAGGCCTTTCTCAGGTCACGTGAGTTGAGATGCCTGGGAGAATTTAAAAATTGAAGAAAAATTACTCGTCTCAAGAAAATATGTTTCGGATATTAGAAATTTTTTTTCTCAGTGTGCCTCCGTATGAAATGATTGCACCCGTTTGAAATCAGTGAAATCGCTCGGAATCACTTGCAATCACCACATCGTTGAGATGAGAAATTTGATTTTGAAATGTATAGAAAAGAAAGAAAAAATTTTTATCGCCTCATCATGCTTTTTTACAAATATGGTTTACCGACAAAGGTAAACCTCTCCACGAAGTGGGTGCGTTTCGCAATCGAGGTAGTCGCAGTAACAGTACTGCAACCCTATCCAATTTTGCTTGACTGCAGGTAGTTGATTCCGAAAAGCACTCAATGAAAGAAAAACGAAACACAACTCTGTCGAATTTTTAATTTTAAAAAACTGTCGAATCCCAGGATTCTCAAAATAGATCGATATTTCTCGAGAATCTCACAACTCACCGTTAAACATGTTCGGTACTGTAGTTCATAAAAAACAGAAAGAAATGTTCAGTACAAATTACGCAACTCACAATTCCCTCACCGATTAGGAAATCTACTCAAAAAAATAAAGTGACGGTATGGTAATTTTTCACAGCAGATTCAGATAAAAATTACGGAACGCTCTGGAAAAATTTCGTGACAGTTCCGTAAAATTCCCTACAACCACATTTCGCTCCGCAATTACGGAAAAGATACGTAATTTTTATTGAATATTTCTCTCCGTGTGGGAAAAAAAAATTTAGAAATTTGAAATTATTTGAAATCGAGGACAAAATTCTATGAAATCACTTGAAATCAGCAATCATTGTGTCACGATCTTCGGTAGTGAATAACCCCTCGCTTTGGTCAGTCCATTACAAATTGGCATCGTCGATTTGCAAATATTACAAACTAGTAAAAGTATGTTCCGATGGAAGTCCTATTGAAGAAGGATCATCATAGATAACTCATAGAAAAAAAGTGAAAATGCTCGTGATAAATTGTATTGCATAGTAATTTTCATGAGATTATTTTTCTCCTCTTGTCACCTTCCATTAAGAATTTGTAATATAAAGAAACAAATATAACAAATCACGCAGAGAATGAGGGATTAAGTACCCTCTCATTGACTAACGTTGAATTCTTGTTTCTCTGTCATGGGATTTAGACGGAGCTCATACCACCCGCTGCACTCATACCATTTTTACCTTGTGCGCCCCGTCATCACGCAACCATAATTTAAAAAACTCGCGGCTTTCACTTGGCGTGTCTCGTTTCGTGGACTCTTTCGTGTTTCACATTGAAAAAAAAATGGAAAAAAAAAGTTTATTCGTAACAAAAATAATATGAAAAATCTCTACAACTTATTTGTCTGGCCGCCTGGAGTGCTTATTCCTTTGTTGATTGTGTAGATATGCTACCGAGAGATTTTTATATTTATTTAGAATTTATCATCGATCAACAGTTGAAGAGATGGGTAAGCTCAACCGAAAAAATACCTCGGGTCATGATTTTTTTGTCAAATATATATTTTCAAACACCAAAAGTTACCACCGAGTATCTCGCAAAGATGATAATTTTGTTATCGTGTACTTCATGTAAATTTTAATCAACTTATTGATCCTTTTATCCTACAAGATTATTTCTGAATAGAGGAGTTGCGAGGTAAATATGGAATATAATATTTTGCGAGTAGTACTCATTTCTATTGTGATAGTCCCCGACTATATGTACGATCATTAGTTTATTAATAAATTGATGAATAAAATAACGGAGTGATGCTGATGGTGAAAAGTTTATTTCGAAAATACTCAATATTACTATAAATCAACTTGGATGTAAATAATTAAATTGTGTGAGGGTTTTGAAACCGATGGATTGTATAAGATATCTAGAACTATTGAATGAAGAGGAAGATTCATACATAGACGCCATGCATAACGGCTTGACGTGGTGTTTTCAAACGTAATATGTCTTAATTTGGAATGATGAGTATTTAAGGGTAGCGATTAATCGAGTGAGAACTCAAATAGATTTGGATGAAGTGTAAGTACGAAGTTATGAGTAAACATCGATTTTTCTTCGCGAGTCAACATCATTAGATTGGAGCTCGACGGTTTTCATGAATTGTTAGAACAATTCTTCCGAAGTTTTTTAATTTGACGATCGATTCGATGCTACTGGTGAAGTAAAGTAAAACGAAAACCTTAGAACTGCCTCGCAGCGGAAGAATCTTGAGTCTATCAGTCATAAATTAAGTGGTAATTGATTGTAGCTTATTGAAAATATGTAGAGAAAATAAATATTATATTAAGAAACATGAAATGGTGGCTTTTCATTCAAATCCATTTTTTTCATTGATGGAATAGGGGACCAAAGATTTGCCGGATTTTTTCTCATGTTTGAGAATATAGGAAAAATTTGGAAATTTTCATGTCCTTGTGTGCATGAATTTTTTTGTTTACACGATTTAACATGTTTTCCGTACCATTTTTCCCCAGGATTACGGGAAAGATAATGGAAGAATTCCATGTCCTTAAAAAAAAAAATTTCACCGGTTTTTCGGTGCAAGGGTTAACTTGCCAACGCGGCCATCGTCCGAGGGCCTTCAGCCAGGGAATGTTGAATGTGGAGGGGATTTTTCAGTTGAAAATTCCGTGGAATATTCGGTTAAAAAATTGTGTTGAATTTTTAGTTGAATATTAGGTGGAAAATTGTGATGAAAAATTGCTGTGGAATTTTGGCCCGGCCGGGGCTCGAACCTGGGAGCTTGAGGTTGTGAATTTTTTTTTTTTAACCATGTTTTTATTCAACAGTACAACAGGATATTTACATTTATTTACAGATATTTACATTAAAAAAACAGGCATATAAAAAAATTAATGTAGTGTATTGGGTTTTTTTCTATAACTATGGTCACTCTGTGACTCTCGAGTTTTAACAGAGTATTGGTTGTTTATTGATGTTTCCATAACAGTTTATTGGCTTTTGTGCTCCATACGGTAGCATTTTGTATGTGGTATTTTTCATGCGCCCCAAAAAAAAAAGGATTTAAAAAAGAAAAAAAAGTGAAGATAACTAATCTGGTCGTATTTATGGAGAAAAAAAAGGCGCTCTTATTGAGGTTGTGAATCTCATGCTGCTACCAAGTGCGCCACACAGCCGGGTTCATGTCCTTTATTTCTCCTCAATTATGGTGATTTTTCACAGAAGACGGGAGTTGATATAGCATTCCATATCTTGTAACATCACAGGATATTGTTGGATAGGATTTTTGGGTAGGTACACTGATAGTAAAGGTGGAATGATTCAGTTGCACCAAACGAGGCTTCTTAACTGTTACCACGAGTCGTTAATAGTTAACGAATCGTGGTAATAATTCAAAAATCTCGTTTGGTTCGACTAAACCGTTCTATCAGCGTAAGAGAGGAACCAGGATAATTTTCAACATTAATTTACAAGAGAAAGACCGGGATTCAAACTACTCGTCTTGGCAGCCACTATCTGGATCAATCAAAAAATATATATTATCGGTTTATAGAAAGTTTCCGAGATATCCCCGTTTTTTCGTTTTTGCTTCCGAATGGAAGCCTTGTCTTTGCCGATTTTTTCCTTATCTAATTTTGATTGCAAATGGTCTAGAATGTTATCAAATGTGAAGACATGATGTATGTATCCAACAACTTGGATTTTTGGTGATTAATTTTTAGAAAATACGGTGCAATTTATAGATAAAAATTTGAAATTTTGGTTCATTGTAGCTATTATTGGTCTAAACTTTCGCGCGCTTTTCCAGCCCGATCGGTCCAGTAGTTCCTGAGACATAACAACTTGTTTAAATTTCGTTCTTCCTCAATATCTCAAAAACTACTGCACCGGTTTCAAAGATTTTGTTTCAAAATATTCATCTCGATGACCTCTATGTAGGTTAATCAGAATATATAGACTCTTTAAAACACATTTTGGAGATATTGCCGTTTTATCGTTTTTCATGAAAAATCTTATACGCACGATAACTTGAGAAAAAAAGGAGATAGCAAGTTGAAATTTGGTATATTCTAGCTCTTATAATATTGAAGGTTGGTATTTTGGATCGGCGCAATCAGCCGAGCGCTTCCTGAGATGGAACCTTTCGTGTAAATATATTTTTTCAAATATGTATGAACTACTTGACGGATTTCATTTTTTTTTTTTTTCAAAATACTCGTCTCGGTAGTCATTATCTGGATCAATCAAATTATATATATCCGTTCATACAAAATTTCCGAGATATCTCCGTTCTTTTCGTTTTTTAAATTTTTTCATTCTTGTACGCATGATAACTTGAAAAAAATGAGGATAGCAAGTTGAAATTTGGTATGATTACACAGTTCTACAAAATTTAGATGTTTTTTGCCTTAAGGGGTAACGGAAGCCGTCCAAATAAACTTATTTATGTTCAAGCTTTTCTTTTATTCTATGCAATATAAATGGCCGAGATTTTCACCACGTTTTAAGGGAAGCATAAGGGAGGGTTTGTAACCCTTCATATATAAGAGAAAATTTTGCAATTTTTTTCATAACAATTTTTTTTGCAAAAATTAAAAAAATGGAGGGTTACATAACCTCCCTCATGCTTCCCTCAATATGTGGAGAAAATTTCAGCCATTTTTATTGAATAGAATCAGAGAAAAGCGTGAACACAATCTGCTCTTTTCGACGGGTTCCGTTACCTCTTAAATAAGAAATTACTACCTGTAGATAGATTTTTTAGCGCTGAATCGGAATCTCCTCTCCGTTTTTGTTGAAATGCGATCGTTGTTGCGGAAAAAATGTTAAAGTCCCAAAAAAGTGCCAAAACGCTTGTTTAAAGAAAATAATAAAAAAATAACCGCTACATGGATTGATCCCATTTAAAATTCAGCTAACTCATAAAATTTCGATCTTCTCAATGCGGCGATCTATTTCTAGGCAAATGCGTGCGGAATCCTGGGAAAATTCAAGATAAAGTAATTTAAATCTGGTCTCCATATTTCTTCAGCCTCCCCTACTCATTTCTTCGGATTTCCCATGATCCACATTTTAACATGTTATTATTTTCATTTTCGAATTTTGATGAAAATCCCGCCTTCCTATAGAGGGCTGCACCCATCAATCACAGAAACTCATGTTTTCTTCAATCGATAAGCATGTTCCTCGTTTGCGCAATGGGTAACTTATCGAGAATTTGCATGGCTGTGCCCTTCACTCATCGCCTAAAATTTGAATTATTCCAAGTTATACCTTCATTAACAATATAACTCCGCGTGTTCTGCAAATTTGGACGGAATCCCAGGTATTGGTATCAATCAATTGCTTCGAACAATGTCGTTAATCCGAAGTTACATCAAAGGACGTCTGTGATAACCTATTCTTCCTGCAGCATCAGCTACAATTAATTATTAGATTCAAAGGACAATTGGTATCCAAATCATGATGATGGATTCATCGACTCAGTTATTAGAATCCCAGAGACAACTTGCTGCTGAAGAGTTATGTTTGAAGAAGAGTCTCGCCCAAATCGAAGAGCAAATTAATGTTCTTCAGGTAATGACAGAATCAATATTTCAAAATTCTAATTGTCAGTCTCTATAGACTTAAAAAAAAAATCTTTCAAATTTGTCCATAAATCTGTCTATATGATAAAAATTCAAATCGATTTCTAGCGATAAAAATTTGGTCCTCGAAATTAAGGGTCATGAGGGTCAGAATAAGGATCAGGAGGGTCAAAATAAGGGTCATGAGAATCAAAATAAAGGTCACAAGGATCGAAATAAGGGTTATAAGGGTCAGAATAAGGGTCACACGAATCAAATTTTAGTATAAGGGTTATGTGGGTCAGATTAAGGTTCACAAGGGTCAGATTAAGGGTCATGAGGATTATAATGAGGATCAGATTAAGGATTACAAATGTCAGATTAATAAGGAGGGTCAGATTGTGGGTCACAAGGGTCAGAATATGGGGGTTGGCAAGCGTAACCCTAGGGTTAATGATAAACGTTGTGTCTGTGTAATTAAAAATTGGTACCTTGTTTCAACAGATTGAACAGCTGCATTTAATTGCATTGCTGAAGAAATCCTCGAAGGGATCTCCAAAGGAAACATTGGGATCTGCAAACACTCAAGCAGGGACTGAAACCAAAGTTGAAGAGCTCGACCTCGATGTACCAATTCATATGAAGGTGTATTTGGAAGAGGGAGAAGAAGAAGAAGAAGAAGATGAAGATCTTTAATTTATATATGTATCCGATAACCGATTGAAGTTCATATAAGCTTCAATGATAATAAAGACTGAGTATTTCTATATCATAAACAACCTCAACATTTCTCTCAAGGGAAGACTACTATGAGTTTTAAAAGTCACGGGCGATTGGAGTGAGATTTCTCATGCATTGAGGATCGTTTAAATATGTCTAAAAATGAATAATTAGTGCAAAAAAAAATAGTTGCTCATTGTTCGTTTGTCCCGCAGACGCTTAAAATGTTAAAAATAGTCCAGGGCCTCCAATTTTTCAGCTGCAGAGGTTTTTTTCAAAAATTTTGAAAAAATGTGTACAGTAACAATTACGAATTAGTAGTTACGAATTACTATTTTGAATTAGTAATTAAAAATTAAAAAAAAAGGTTTGTAGCTCAAAAATTGGAGGTCCGGGACTATTTTTAATATTTTAAGCGTCTGCGGGGCAAACTAACATTAAACAAATATTTTTTTTGCACTAGTTATTCTTTTTTAGAAATGGAAGATCGATCTTCAATGTATGAGAAATTTCATTCTAATTGCCCACGATTTTTAAAACTCATAGTAGTCTCCCCCTAATGTAAGAATCACTATTCTTTCGAGAAATTTCTAGATATTTAACTTTGTATGTAAATTTGTTTTATTGAATATCTTTAGAATTGCTCAACCGATTCTATTTATCCCACAAGAATGCATCAAACAACCAAAATTTGGAAGCCTGCCAACAATTTATGGTGGTAGAGAAAGATAAACAGAAATTTTCAGTCACATGATCGTTGTCACCTGCTTATTTTGTTTCATAAACGTAAATTGAAACATTCACAATCAAAGATATATAAATAAAAAATTCCTGTAAATTTTTATCGTTCGTCTAACACTCGTGACAATAGTCCCAATATTCAGAAATCTAGCTTGCGAACAAATAAGCGGATTTGAATAAATAAAAGACGATTCTTCTTGTTTTTTTCAAGTACTTTTCAAATAAAAATACCCCAGTATGCCAATTATAGTTAGTGAGACATTTTCGATTTTTTTCTCCTTCAAACTCAATTTTTAGGTCAAGGCTAATCGAAAAATAAATCGTTTTCATTTTTTCCAAAATTTTAGATTTTTATGTTGAATTTTCCAAAAATGAATCACCAAAACCCAAGCTGTCGGATACATACATACAGATATGACCCTAAAAACACAATTTCTTCACGTTTCATAACATTCTAGACCATTTTCAATCAAAATTAGAAAATTGAAAAATCGGTCAAAAACAAGGCTTCCATTTGGAAATAAAAATGAAGATGGCAAGTTGAAATTAGGTATGAATATAGCTCTTACAATACTGAGGGTTGGTTTTTGGATTTTGAATAGGCACAACCAGCCGGGCAGTTCCATAGATATTTAACCTTTTGCACAAATCTATTTCAGTAAAAAGGTGAATATTTTCCTGCAGACATCCTGTTGTTTCTTGACAAAACGTTCAACACAAAAAAAACACAAAAATTTTATCCTTAAACATTACAATTATTATTTCGGTCCTTAACTGTACAACGAACGTAACACTACCTATAAATGAGTGAGGATTTTTATTGAGGCTCAGACGGAACATCAGAATGATCTAAAATTGGATTAAACTCTAGCAATTGTCGTGTTGACTCCACCAACAGAAAAAATTTCCCGTCATCATTACGAGGAATAGCCTTGAGGAGGGGGTCCTAGTTGCGAAGGGTCGTTTACGTCGAACGTGGGTGGTTTGAACTGTTCAGCAGATAACCTCGTGAATAGGATGCCAACGCCTTCGATGAGGGCAAGGAGCATACCCCCGATGATGGCACTGCCAGCCATAGCAGGCAGTCCGTTCCTAGCAGCCAGGATTCCACCAGTGGCAGCTCCACTGATTATCGAGTTCCAGGGGTCTTCCTTTTGTCTGAAGTGAACGAGTGTGCAGTCGATTGTCGAGAACATGCCACCCCAGACGGCGAAGTTTCCGGCGATGATGGGGGAGCGCTGTTTGATGGCCATCAGGGAGCCTAGGAGACGTTTGTTGATCCCACTTGGGGCATTACGGAATCCTTTTATACTTTGAAATACTCCACCCCCGATTGCGCCCATTGTGAATGCTCCTCCGCAGTCGTCAACGATGCGCCAGGGACAGGGCTCTCTTGCATATTCCTCCATTCTGATTTATTTATTTCCTTGTTGTTGAATATCTGCGGGATAATATTGCAAGTTCAATTACATTGGCAGAAGAAATCAATTTTATGAAGAGAATATTATTTGAACCCACTATCATTCGGTTGTTAATTTTCAAATAAACATGATTTCATAGTGAATACCAGTTATCTCTTCTTGAGATACATTTGATTGGGAGAAATCGAACTTCGTAATAATGAGAGTATTCAATTTCTTTCTAGCCAAAACTTTGCTAACTCCAGAAATTCGTTGGTTTAGTTGAAAATCAAAGTTATAGACGTATGAAAAAAATCAATGGAAAACCTAGCGAATGGGCTAGAAAATTCTAGTGGAATTCTATAGGATTTCTATTGGAATTCTATTGAAAAATTCTATTTGTTCTTTGCGCTGATTCTATTGGATATTTAATAATAAAAAGTCAATAGATTTCGAATTTCTGTTTGAATTTTTCTCTTGACATTTTTTCTATAAAAATGCTTGGGCATCAATTTTCTAAGTTTTTTCCGCTCGGATTCTGCAATGCAAAACAAAGCAAAATCCAGGGGAAAAAACTTGGAAAATTTGTGCCCAATAATTTTAATAGAAAAAATCTAAGAGAAAGATCCAAACAAAAAAACGAAATCTATTGATTTTTTCTTATTGAATATCCAATAGAATCAGCGTAAAAGCAAGTAGAATTTTTCAATACAATTCCAATAGAAATCCTATAGAAGCCCCCATAGAATTCCAATAGAATTATTTCGCGAATTCGCTAGGTTTTCTATTGAATTTTTTCATACGTGTTCTCATGACTAAATGCAGAGAATGCAATTTTTTTTTAAACTCCTAAATCTATTTTTGCGACAAAAAATTTTCATTCCGGCGCACTCTCTGCATGTTTGGCACAAAAAAAATTCTTTTTTTATAATTTTCAAAAAACGATTTTCTTGGCATAAGACTTGTTTAAGAACTTTTGCAATGTTTCAGACCGATCTACATCATTTCCCATCAAAATTATAGAATGTGAAAATTGGACGATTAGAATTCCATTCGGAAGCAAAAAAATAGGCAAAGCACTTGGATAACCTCAAGTTATTACCGAATTTTTTTATTCAGTCACTGGTATTTGACCACTCATATTTGCTCGAACACTAGACGGTTCACTAGAATCATATAATGCTTCACTAGTTGTTATTTATCGAAGTGAATTCTATTCAATTTTTGTATTTATTAATCCTTTATTCCTTGATTTTAGAAATCATAATTTAATCGTTCAACTCTCACTAGTGACGATTGGTATTCGTGGCTTTGACTGAGTTCATTCAATTAACACGTGTGTAATTTTGATAATTTGTTCCATCACATTTTCAAATTGAATTTTGTCTCGTATTTTTAATTCAAGAGCTCTCAGGGGTCACTTGTGAAATTGCTACGAGCAATTTTGAGGTTAGGATGATGACATCAAGGGTAACAACTGTCTTACAAGAATTAAATTCAAGGATTTCTCAATGAAATGAGTCTCTCAAAGGGTTTCAACTTTTATAAATTCGTTTTTTTGATAAATTACCTGAGATTTTATCTTCTTATGCCCCAGTCACGCTTTTCCTGCGCCCAAACGCAGGTTATTCGACCCCTGATGGATGAGCGACTAATGATGAGTCAAGTTCATGTTTATTATTTTGCATCACCAAAAACCTTTTTCAATTTTTTTCAATATTTAAAATTCCTTAAAATATTGTTGCATTAAACAAACTTGGAAAATGACTTCAGAGATAATTTTAGAAGTTATATTTTGAATTGTTCGTGCAGAGCGGGAACTTCTGAAAGTTTAAATGTTTTGAAATTGAAAATAGAGAGCGCGAGGTATAAATCAATTAGTTCGAATGGATTAATTGTATTTTGGGGTGGATTTCGTTACGAGAGAATTAGTATTCAATTGTTATTGATGATATTTTGTGAGAAATGTATCGCGATGGGATGAAGTGTGCTGTCATAGTGCCGCTGGATCTAAAATAGAGTGACCGCCGTGGAATTGTCTAAAAATAAGTATTCCCTGCTTGGTTTCATAGTCTACGAATATCGTGGCTTGGAGTAACACGCAGAACCGTCAGAATTGGGAAGACATCGCTAAATAGCCTGATCAGCCGTTGAATTCCACTTTCTACCGAAATTAATAACAAAATATAGTGAAAATGTCGGAAATTATTGGAGACTCTTGCAACGCAGCTGGCGATTCCTGTGAAAGAGAGGAAGTTCCACAAGAGTTGGAGTTGAATACGGAAACCGCAGCTGCAGGGGAGCCTGGAATAGCTCTAGCGGACAAGAAACCCGAAATAGTGGAGAAATCTGAGGCTGCGGCGAATGAGTTGGTCGGGTTATTCCAACAGAAATTGCAAGTAAGTCAAACAATCGGGAACGTAATAATTAAAATAATTGTTTTAAAGATAAATGGTAAGAAAATATTTTTTGTTGGGAATTTTCTCAGCTACAAAAATGATCCTATGATGTTTTATGATAAAGTCAAATTCGCTGCCGATATAATTGATTCCAAAACTTGACTTGAGTCCTTTTTAAGGATGTTTTACCTATCAACTGGACAACTCAGTTGAAAAGAAAAATAAAATTGACTAAATAAATCATTCATGTTACAAATTATTTTTCTCATCAAATTGGAAGTGTTATGGCATACTTTTCCGGTCTCAAAAACAATAATTAAAGAAAATCCTATTTTACTAAAGATGAAAGAAACGTGAAGTTGTTTTATATCGAAATATCTTGAAACTGCCTGACCGCTAATCCGCAATTTTGATTGGTCAATGAATCACGTGAAGTAGTCGCTGAAAAAAATCCCCGGTATTTTCAAATTTTTCAAATGGCAAAATTTTTTTTGCGTCATATTTATCATTTTTTCATGTGTGAAGTTTATCTTTATATCAAAACATATCTAAATTGCCTAATTGTTGATCATGAGAAAATAAACATGATATTTCAATATTTTTTTAACGCACAAATTATTTTCCACTTCCCAAATTTTACTTTTTTCATATTTATCATACGCAAAAATGATCAATTCTTGCTTCGCAGATTTTCATACATAAATTCTAAATGCTACAGAATTCATGAAAATTCTTCGGTTTCCCAAATAATTCGAGAAAAATCTTTGAAGAGCTACGATTATCTGGACAACTGTGGAATTTTCCGAAGAATTCAAGAAATTTTTTCAGTTTTCTGGGAAATCAATTCATAACCCTCTCCTCATTTTTCAACAATTACAGATTTTAATCAGATTATTTTTAAAAGTAAAAAAAAAAAGAATTAATCGAAGATTAAAAATTATTCATTGATGCTTCACTCTTCATTCTCTTAATTCTCTTCAAGTCATTATCAATATTTATAAAACATCTATGAGTATATGGAGTTTAATACATTCGATTTCTTCATTTTCACAACAAAAAGATAAGCGCGCGCACAGATCTAGTGTTCATAAATAATGGAGGACTTGTGCCTGCAGTGGTAACAGTCGAATTTTGATCGGGCAACATCGCACGCTTCGGCTAGTAGTGGGGTTGTAACAGTGAGATGAATGTTTGTGTGTGTTATACGTGTCCATATGCTTCCAGCACTGAATTATCGTCACCGACTTTACCGACCTCGATCAGCTGTTGTGCGGTGTTGTCGCGTTGCTCGACTCGTAATGACGGTCAATTTTTTTTACAGGAATTCGAAGATTAATCGAAGATATCACGCCTATATGACCCGGTCCCCTACTTGTTTTCGCCGGCGATAGATTTTCCATAGTCTCAAGTAAATGGCTTGTGGTTTTTTTTCAATATCTTGAGTGTCTAAACCCAGGCAACATCTCGATTAAAGTTCACATGGTCAGGTTTCTTCCCTAAGTATAATGTTCCAAGAAGTGATTTTCAGACATTAATTTCTCACTAGGATGCCCCGATGGAAGGATTAAGATTATTACTAGCGTGTGGCTCAAATATGAACCTGGCATATGAGACAATATCACAATTATGATGAATGATATGGGTTTTTCCAAAACATCGTTGCAATTGTGATATTTCCTAAAATTCTTGTCGTACTTCACATGTTCAAAGTCAATTTTCTTAGAAACTTTCTACAGACTTTCTTAGTGACTCTCTACAGACGAGTTGATGAAAGGGCATGTATAATAATACTTTATGCCACTCATGCCTGAAACCGGCTGAATTAGACACGAGACGCGAAGCGTCGAGTGTGTAATCCAGCCGGTTTCAGGCTTCGTGACATAAAATTTTGTTCAGTACTTGTTGGGAAATTTCGTCCTTAACGTGTGTGGTTACATCACTCGCCTTCGGCTCATGCTGTAAACCCCACACACGTTAAAGACGATATTGCCCCACATGTACTGAAATATACTATTTTGTCATTCCGGCCGTAAGGCAGCGTTTCACGGACGCTCCGCGAAAAAAACTTTTCTGACCAAAAAAAACTTTTCTGACGAATATGATTGCAGCCCTCGTCTTCGGCTCGTGCTGCAAACCTCATATTCGCCAGAAAAGTTTTTTTCGACCTAATGACGAAATATACGATTTTGTCATTCCGGCCGTAAGGTAACGTTTCACGGACACTACGCGGTGAGTTGCTGCTTACAACCGTTATGACAAAAAATATTGTTCGTCATACGGTCTAAAAAAACTGTTGTAGCATATATGATCCCGCATAGAAAAAAAATATATATACAGAAATATATGTCACTTATATCCGCTTATATGTGGTATACTTTCCGGCAAAAAATGCAATATTTGAGATATATGTTGGATATATGTGTGTAGCATATACCTGGTATACAAGGCGGATATATTCAAGATATAATTCCGGCAAAATCACTATATCTCACTCATAAGTTTTGGCTTATGTTTTTTTCTATGCGGGATTGCAACCCTCGCCTTCGGCTCGGGCCAGAAATGTTTTTTTCTGCCCTCCGGCCGGAAAGCGTCAACTGCCTGGCCGCTGCGCTAAACGAAGTTGCCACTTTCCGGCTACGTCGAGCAGAAAAATAGTATACACACCTTGGCCAGTAAATAAGAAAGCCTCAGATTACATGTTTGTGGACCTCGGCTTCGCCTCGGCCGACAATTACATGTGATCTGAGACATTCCTTACTTTACTGGCCAAGGTGTGTAATCTACTATTTGGGCCTTGTGACGAAAATAGCTATTTTAGCTAATATGATTGCAAACCGCCTTCGGCTCGGACTGTAATAAACTGATATTCGCCAGAAAAGTTTTTTTCGGCCTAATGATGAAATATACTAGTCCATGACATTAATACATTGATGATCACTCCAGGAACGAACAAAGGAGCGTGATGAGTACAAGAAGAAGTTGGATGAAACCGAGGCTAAGCTATCAGCCCTCGAAGCCTCGTACGACGCAGTGACATCTAACAAAGACGATGAGATGTCCCTCCGTCGTCAGCTCGAGGACTTCAAGAATAAGTTGAGTCAGGCTGAGCAGAAACTGGAGGGTCGCAGTCGCTTTATCGCCAATCAGGAATGCCAGATTAGTGCCCTGGGGAAGCAGGTGTCATCGCTGAAGGAAGTAGTGGCCATCACGAAGAATCTTCTTGAAATTCGTAACATGGAAGTCAAACATTTACAGGTGATTATCAGGGATGATTACTACTATATGGTGAAAGGAGTCGTCATTATAATTACACCTAAATTGATGCGATAATCGAGAAGTGAAGATCAGCTTCTGCAAAATATATCGTAATCTCGAAAAATTTAGGTTCAAATCTTTTTTAGTGGAGAAAATCGACAGCTACAAAAAGTGTTTGAACTAATCGTTCTGATTGTCTTAAATTTTTTCGTTTTCATTTTTTAGGAGGACGTAGACAGCATGGAATCAAAAATATCAGCCGAGCGTTCCCGACACGACGAAATGATAAGTCGAATGAACACAACCGCGAGACTGAACGCCGATCTCAAAACTGAGTACGAGACTCAGCTTGGTCTTTTCCAGAATCTCCGGAAAAAATACGAGGAAAAAGTTTCTTTACTGACGAGTAATGGTAGCCCGACTGAGACAACTGCGAACAACTCTTGTGGAAAATAAATATTACTTTTGTACAAATGTCGAAGATGTTGTGGAGGCCATTGAGTTTATCAATCTTGAATAAATATCAACAATTTTCTTATCAATGGAAATGGGTTACATCCACACCTTATGCCAATTTACGATCTCATGAGCCCCTGATGCTCATGAGCATCATGAGCCCATATTTTTCAGAATTAATACTGAATATTTTTCGTGGAAATCATATTTTACCTAACGAGTTTGTAAATTACGTTTTTGACACTACTGCTACGGTCACCTCGTGTGGAAATGTGCTTTTTTGTTTATCGGTAAACAAAAAATCTTTTCCCTATGTAGCGATGTAGTAGATGTTTATTTTTAATTATTTTTCATAATCACTCTAATTTCTGGGGATGTCTATAATCAGAGGAGTAATATGGTTATAATAAACTGATTATGGGTTAGAAGAAAAAACTATTAAACATACACTGTTAAAAAATTTCAACTGAATATTCCAGTTTTTAGCCTTGAGATATCCAACAAGTGACAGTTTCACTGAAATTTCAGGGAATTTTGTCACTGAAAATTCATAGTTTTTATGGGAAATTCATGGAACTTGTAAATTTCAGTTGAATTATTGCATAACAATTAATGACAATCGGGAAAATTCAAGCGAAAATATCCTTCAATTTTCAATTCCTCGAAATTTAAGGGAAATTTCTTGTTGAATTTTCATGTTTATATTGGACATTCATGTAAATTGCTGAATTTTCATAATTCTTCTACTGAAAAATCAGAAATGTCCTTGAATTTTCAGGGAAACTTGAAATTTCATAGACTTTCTTCCGTTAAATCGAATTCAGTGTCATTTCCTGGAAAATTCAGATATTTTTTTAACAGTGTAGAGAAAATGGTGAAAGCAGTGAATGAAGAAAACTCTGAATTTTTTATTGCCAGGAGACCTCAAACTTTCCTTCTTGCATTTAAGCTAGCGTTTGCTCATTGTTCCACTACGTTGTTAAGAAATTTCAAGCGAAATCTTGGATTGCGTGTATTTGAGGGGTATAATATCACAGTTGCCACATAAACAAGTTATAATTGATGAAAAATGATAGAAAAAAAATCAAACTGGACATCTTTAAGCTAAAAAATTATTGTATTTATATTTATTAACAGAACATGTATTCACACTTTCTAAGATGTCATCGTCATCTGACATTAACATCATAATATTCTGATTTCATATTTTTTCTTCGATATTCGATAATTGTAATTTTATTTTCGACTCCAGTCCAGACGTGAACCAAAAGTTCATACACAAAAGTGACTCAATATTTCGGTTAGATAATCGATTTCTGTTTCCGAATAATCAGTCCAGCTTTGGTGAACAATCGTTCTGAAGGCACCCTGGAGCCACAAATTGAAAGATAATCACGAGCCATTCTCGCCAACCGGAAAATTTGTCTCCAGTTTAGACCACCATTCCAGGTGTGTCGTGGGTCTAAAACCAATAGTGCACCATAAATCCAATTAGCCTTATTATAATGCTTGATCAATTTATCACGTCCTGCTTGGAATGCGAGTATGAGATTTTCATCAATTTCAGGTCGGTCAGGTTGTCATCCAAGGATTTACACAATGCTTCCGTGGTATCAAGCAAAATGTTGACTCCTACAACGACTGTAGAGATTATTGGATATTGCTCGCCTCCCAAAGCAGTTGAAAATTTTTTGAAACACCCCAAGCAATTCTTCAACTGTCTAAGCAAAATCCATTCATCTTGTGAAATGAATAGATGAGACACCATAGCATTGTTCTGTGCCAAAACTGAAATGGATTTCTGCATTTTTATCCCTGTTGCAATCAAATCGTGCGTACTATTTCCATCGTGTAGACACATCCAAAGGCAAATTGGTAAAATTTTCTTGGAAAGCTGTGCAATAATTAGTCAGTTTGTTCCTCCGCTGCTCGGATCTCTTCACTTTCTTATAGATACTTCGAAGTCGTGTGATCGGTGAATCAGTGTGGGTCACGCTATCATCTTCTATTTCGTTTTCAGTGGATTCCCTATCAGAGTCATACTCGAAGTCATCCTCGGAGTCATCGTCATTATTTTCATTTGGACCCAATCTCAACATCTTCAAAATATCTTGGACCGCCAGATTGATGACGTTATGCCATTTCAGTCCAGATGTATTACTATTCAACATTTTGATTTTCACTGAGATATCATTGTCTTTGCAAAGTTTACACTCTCCAAATTTCATATTGTTTATAAATTCTACTTGAAAATAAGGTTTCCACTTTTCACCAATACTTGCCCTACGGACAATGTTCCTGGCATTCTGTGCACTCACAAGAGAATGATCACTGCTGGATTCGATTCTAACGGATGCCGGTATAATCGAAGACGTTAACTGTTCGTTAAAATCAGTGTGAGATTTTTTGGCGGGTCGTGAATCATGTGCCGTATCGTGTCTATTCTTCCGCTTCATCGTCTGAATTTGAGATCACAATTCAATTGAAAACTTTCCTCTACACAATTGGAATCAAATATCGCGTGTATATTTACTTCACTTGAGTAACACCCACTCAACGACACTCTATGACTGGTTGGAAATTCGCGATGTGTTCTAGACGATGTTTAACTCGGAATGAGAGGAAAACGGAGGGCAGAGTTCTTCGACCCTTTCAAAAAATCGTGAAAATAGTATGAAACTATGCAAAAAAAATTAGAAACTGAAAGGAAGGGGTGGCGGGGGAGGTAGGCATGTCCAGAAGGTATCGACATTGGTGGAGGTGCTGGCAATATGAACCACATATGGTGCAATAATCCAGGTATCCTGGTAAGGTAAAAGGAGGATCCAAAAAATTGATACGTAGACCGTGGAGATTAACCAGTTGATTTATAAGTCCACGTGTGGGGAAAAGTACAAAATTTTCCGTTACGATCACCAGTAGAAGAATTTAGTGCAAGTTTTTGTCCAAAAAATGCTCCGAATGGGGAATTCAGAGAGACAATGGAAAAGAGGCTAAATTGTTGACTCCAAACTTCGAACTCCAATATTTTTCGAATTGAAATGTTAATCTTGAAAAGGAAACTAGAAGAGGATTGATAAATGTTTCCAATGAAATAATTTAATGATGAGTTAATAATAATAACTTTTAATAATAATCTAATAATATTCATGATTAATTTATTCTGATGATAAACCCCGAGTTCGGGCCATCAAAGACGCCGATGTACGCCCAACATTGGCATCAATCATCAGCCAACCATCGGTGAAAAAAAAAGTAAAAATCGTTCACTTATAATCATTTTATAACCCTTCTTAACCATTCCAGTGAACCAAAAAACACTGAGAGAAATGTTCAGTAAAAATTACGGAACTCACAATTCGCTCATCGATTACGAAATCGAATCAGAAAACTTAAATGACGACATCGTAATCTTTCACAAGAGATTGAGGTAAAAATTGCGGAAAAGATACGTAATTTTTATTAAATATTTCTCTCCGTGAAGAGAATAATGAAATTTAAAAAAAATTGCCCCCGGTGGGATTCGATCGCGAATCCTTCTGATCTGTAATCACGCTGTCCACTGGCGTATCTGAAATTTCTTATGAAGATGGATTTTTTTGGAGTATATGAATACCACGGGGTGTTTTTGTTTGAATCCACGAATGCGATTATCAACAATTAATTAACTAATGTGTAACTCCAATGAGAAGAGTTAATGAATTAATTTACTATTCTTCAATTATTTTAGGCCTTCATTCGGGGTATCGATATCTATATTCTACATATTAGGAGAGAGGACGGACGCATGCCATCCATCCATTTATTCGAAAAATTAGTTTTTGTCATTCCGGCCGTGAGACAGCGCTTCACGGACGCTCCGCTCCGCGTCCGTGAATCTCTGCCTACGGCGGTCATAACAAAAAATACTGTTCGTCATACGGCCAAAATAGTATATTTCGTCACTAAGCCGAAAGAAACTTTTCTGGCGAATATGAGTTGAACAGCATTTTTTGTTATGACGGCCGTAGGCAGAGATTCACGGACGCGGAGCGGAGCGGAGCGTCCGTGAAGCGCTGCCTCACGGCCGGAATGACAAATAGTATATTTCGTCACTAGGCCGAAAAAAACTTTTCTGGCGAATATGAGTTTGTAGCCCGAGCCGAAGGCGAGGGCTGCAATCATATGAGCTAGAAAAGTTTTTTTTGACCGTATGACGAACAGTATTTTTTGTCATTCCGGCCATAGGCAGAGATTCACGGACGCGGAGCGGAGCGTCCGTGAAGCGCTGCCTCACGGCCGGAATGACAAAAAAGTTTTTTTCGGCCTAGTGACGAAATATACTATTTTGAACATCTCAGAATGCAAATGACGTAGAGGGATTTTTGCAATAAGCTTTTTGATAGATGTCATTTTTCCATACAAAAAAGGTTCTTGCCGAGAAAGCGATATTTTGCTTCGATCCTGAGATATTGTAACTAATTGGCTACTGAATCTGGAGATGGTTTTCAATGAATATTTTTGAACCTACGGTAAATGGAAAAAATTTTATCGTAGCTTTTTTGTCGGACTCATTTTGCTCTATAAACAAGGGGAGGTTGAAGTCTATCCGACAGAATGCATGTGACTTTTTGCGTTATTATTACAGAAAGGAGGTATGATACTTTGAAAGATTTATACACAAATTTCTCTGTCTCATTTACATTCCGAGAGATTTTCGGAAAAACTAATTTTTTGGAAGGACTAAATTTTGTTTTTCTCTTTATTTCACCTCTGGATTCTTTAGAGCGCCAAAAATAAAAATAGGAGTTGGTTAGGAATTTTTCAGAACTTATCGTTAAAAAAACAACAAGAATTCGGAACGACCTCAAATGAACGGTTGAAATTTTCTTTTTGAATTTTAGATGTAAAAATACATAGATACATGGAAAAATATATTTCTCTCAAAAAATTGAGAAAAATTCCGCCAAAATCAATAGGTTCAATTTTTTTTGTTGTGTTTAGTGACTCGTAATTAGAATTGAAAAAGAAGTTTTTAGAAGAAAACAAATTGAATCTTCAATATCTCCGCCGGTAATTGAGGTAAAGATCTTCGGTTGCAAACATTTTTCTTCTTTTGGACTATACTTTCCAATAAATAATGGGAAGTCTTAAAATTTTTAAGCAATTTTTCATATAGAGAATTGGCGGATTCTCACATAGATGTATAATAACGGTTATAAATTTAAAAAAAGTTTCATCTGTAGAGATGAAAAATGAGAGTAGTGTTCATTTCAAAATATACAGTAGACTAATCCAAAATGAATTCAAATAAAAATTGATAAAGGAAAAATGAAGTTGCATCTATGTAGACAAAAAATCACTGTCATATTTTTTGGAAAATGTGATGGTTATAAAGTAGGGGGAGAGGAATTGTGACAGCCGTTATATGACGGATTATGTAACGCATTTGCATCTCTAGTTCCAAATCCCGTGACCGTTCCCATTTTTTAAATTTATCAACTACTCGCAATGACACAAATCATATCAAATGGAAAATAGTACTAATACCCAATCCTCTGTTAATAAATTAACTGAAGCAGTTGATAGGTGAATCCCCCGACTATCATTAACCTCCCTTTGTGTACATCGAATTCATAATGAATCCATGAATGATTAAACACACATTGACTGCGAGAGTGTATCATCTCTGCATGTTATCAGTGTACGAACATTGCACGTGCCCGCTGAACGCACAAGAAAAACAAATGGCCTCCGGCTCAGAAAAATCGGTGGTTCCCCGACTGCACAAATACTAAAGTAAGAGCAAAAATGATATATGTCCAACTATAAAAGACTCCGCTTCATCCCTCACTAGCATCAGTTCTTGAGTCTTCTCGTTCAGACAAAGTCGAGAGCATCAGACTGAAGAATGAAGTTCGCAATTTTTGCATTGTTGGTTGTGTTCGCCATTGTGGCTACCGCTGAACCTGCTGGGGTTCCTAGGCCACGCCCGGTCAAGCCCATTCGTCCTAGGCCTCCGGTGAGACCAGTGAGACCTCATCCGGTAAGAAGATGCATTTATCTATGATTTGATTCTTACACTCGTCCAAGTTTATCGACTTTTCCAGAGGCGACGAACTCCGATTCAATAAATAAAACAATTTAGAAATGTCGCAATGTATTCAAATTCATCCATTTAATTCCACGAGGAAAAAAATAATAATCAGACCAAATTTTTAGTCTTCAATTCTCAATTTCTGTCATTTATTCCATTCATCCTACTTACTAAAGATGAAGAAACGTGAAGTTGTTTTATATCGAAATATCTCGAAACTGCCTGACCCCTAATCCTCAATTCTGATTGGTCAATGAGTCACGTGAAGTAGTCGCTGAAAAAAAACCCCGGTATTTTCAAATTCTTCAAACGCCAAAAATTTTTTCTGCGTCATATTTTTAATTTTTTCATGTGTGAAGTTGATCTTTATATCAAAACATATCTCAATTGCCTAATTGTTGATCATGAGAAAAAAAAACAGTATTTCTAATTTTTTTTAACTCACAAATTATTGTTCACTTCCCAAATTTTAATTTTTTCATGTGTGAAGTTGATCTTTATATCAAAACATATCTCAATTGCCTAATTGTTGATCATGAGAAAAAAAAACAGTATTTCTAATTTTTTTTAACTCACAAATTATTGTTCACTTCCCAAATTTTAATTTTTTCATATTTATTACATGCCAAAATAATCAGTTCTTGCTTTTCAGATTTTCATACATAAATTCTAAACTTTACAAAATTCACGAAAATTCTGCGATTTCCCAAATAATTCGAGAAAAATCTGTGATCTACGGTTATCTGGAAAACTGAAATTTTCCGAAGAATTCAAGAAATTTTTTCAGTTCTCTAGGAAATCAATTCATAACCCTCCCCTGATTTTTCAACAATTACAAATTTTAATCAGATTATTTTAAAAAGTAAAAAAAAAAGAATTAATCGAAGATTAAAAATTATTCATCGATGCTTCACTCTTCATTCTCTTCATTCTCTTAATTCTCTTTAAGTCATTATCAATATTTATAAAACATCTATGAGACATTTTCACAACAAAAATATGAGCGCGCGCACAGATCTAGTTATATCAAAAGAGAAGGATAGAAATCGAATTTGTGGGTATTCGAAAAAATATATCGATTTTAAAACTTTCCGGAGACACTGAAAAATTAATTTTCTTATTTCTTTCCGCCTGCGTTAAAACATTTTGAAAATATAAGAACAATTATGGGACGTAAATTTTTTCGAGTTTTGTGGCATGAACCCTTTTTTTTACAGTGTCAGTACAACAATTTTCCTATTTTTTTTCTCCGCGAATTTCGTTAATTAATAACTTCTTAACTATCTATTTACCCCAAAGCCAAAAGTCGAAGAAGAACTTTCGACTCAGAATTTCAATCTCGTCCATCCTTCAAAATTCCGATCAATAGTTTTAGAACATCTTGTATATGAAATTGGTCCGTATTATATATATTTCTTCATGTTTTTCTCTCTCTGTTGTCATTAGCGCCTTCGTCGATCACCTGAACCAGAGCCGAGTCGTCCAAAACCTCTGCCAGTGCCTCCCCGTCCACCACATCCCGTGAGAAAATATTTTAGTTTATTCCAAATTTCAGGGAAGAAGTTGTAAAATGGATATAGTATTTCAACATTAGATATTTTTTTTATAAATCCAAGTTCAAAAGGGACGGCGTATATTTTTTCGATGTCTATTTTGAGGAAGTTTCAGAAGAATTTTTGTGAAACTCATTTCGTTTTACCACTTCAATACTGAATTTGTTCTCCAGTCGTTTGAATCACAATTTTCTGATTATGTGAATTTTTCCTATATCAGAGACTTCGTCGTGCACCTGAGCCCGAGCCAAGTCGCCCAAAACCCCTGCCAATACCTCCACGTCCACCTCATCCCGTAAGTATCCCCGCTGATATCAAGATTTGCAATTGACTTTGGGGGGTCACGTCAAATGATCACTGCCAAAATATCACACGACAAAATATCATGATGGAAAAATATCATAATAAAATAATATCACTTAGATAAATATCATATTCAAAAATATCAAATGATATTACAATGCGGTCATTCGTATAGCGTCGTCGTCGTATATATATTGAGAAGGATCGTGCTTTGGAAGGTTTAATTGCTAGTTTTGACGTTGATAATATTTTGGGTTTCTTGAAAGGCATCGCACTAAATCTCTAAAAATGTCTGTTAGAAATATTTGAAATGATTAAATGATGTAATTTGATGATGGCTTTCGATTTTTTGATAGGCATTGCATTGGATTTGCCTTAGAGAAGATGTCAATTTTGATTTTTTTTGCATTTAATAAAAACACAATTCATATCATTTGTTGATATTTCTTATGATATTTTGTCGTGTGATTGTTATATGTGATTTTTCTGGTGTGTGATTTTTTTTCCGTGTGATATTTTGTCGTGTGATTTTTTTTTGTGATATTTTTCCATGTGAGATTTTGTCGTGAAGCCGACTTTGGTCATGAAAAACACTTATCGATGCTTCACTCCTTACAGAGACTTTAAATCAACACATAGAGTGCGGCCTCAGTGTCAAGATGGACCATTTTCTGGGGGCAAAACTACTGGATGTAAAACGATCGTAATATTGAATTCTTCAACAGACATTTATTATTGTGTATATTGTACTATGCATTCTCCATGATAAATAAATAGCCAGACAGTACAAAATTTTATGAAATGTTGTCGAGATAATTTATTATAATCAATTAAAATTGCTCTTGGAATCAATTCTTCGATTACGATGTTACAAACGTAGTCGTTCTTCATGGGCCATGTGGGAGGCTCCGTGCAGATTAGGACGCCTCGGAACTCTTACTTTCTGCGCTTGATTCAAATTCCGGCACTGAAAAACTGGTCAACAAAAAACAAAATAAAGCGTCATCAGCAGCGGCGGTTAGTCACCATGTAGAGGGGAAATTACTCTTCCAAAAGATCAACGTCTGGACATCGTTGTTTATAAACAGAGATATTGGGATTTTGAGTCGACAACAATTGTTCACATTGCCCCACCTTCCCCTACTATTCCTCATTTTGATTCGTAATTAACCCTCGATCACACGCGCTCAACTGCGCTCGGTCGCCAGCCTTCATCCTTTGCAGGGTTAGCGCAGCGCCAGTGGGTTAAGGAGAGTCTACATTAAACGCGCGTCATCTGTTCGCGTCACTTTCCTAACTTAATATATCTATATTTATTGCAACGCGACGTAAACGGAGGATCAATGCCGACTGTAGACTCTGCCTTACAAAGCGCCGCCTTTTCTCGATTTTTTCTTGTTGCATACAAAATTATGTATGGAAAAATTTGTAAAAATTACAATGCCTAGTTCAAACCCTCTAGAATGGACTAGTAAAATTCCTATCTTTTGAGAAATCCCATGAATACCATGAAAAATAATTATTTAGTGAGACTGATACGGAAAAGCGGCTTCTCGCCGCCCGGAGTCAGTGGACTCGTGTAGTCGGTTTTTAGGCGCGCTGTTGCCACGTCGTTCGTTTCAGTTCAGATATACTAGGAACGTCAACATCTCTATCACGTGCCGTGTTTGGCGTCTCATAAAAATGCAATTTTTTTTTAAAGCATAAATGGTGTTTAATTCGAGAAAAATGTGGCAACACCGCGCTAACCGTAACGCGGGCGGCGCGTTGCTCACCGAGCCAGTGGACTCGGATGGGCACTGAACGCCAGTTCAGGAGCCTTAAGAAGATTCTACAATGAACGCAGCGCCGGCTTGACGCAACGCATGAAATTGTCAAAATAATGAAAAAACACTTGAATGATTGATTCACACAGTTGCACGCGTCGCGTTAATCCTGCGTTGCGCTTCATTGTAGAATCTCCTTAAGGGGAGACCGCGGTGAAATTTGAAAGTCTCGGCTCGGCCTTAAGAGCCATTGGATGACTTTTGATATATGAAGGGATATATAAAAAAGTGAGAAAAATTTCGGACCCGAACCGTTTTGCGCCGTATATCCACCAAAAACGTCATTTTTTACGTTTGTAGCTTAAAAATGCTCCTTGGACCACAGTTTTCATCCGATTTCAACTTTTTTTTTTGAAATGTTCGCTATACTCCAACGAACAAACCCAAGTATCCGTTTTGCTTTACATTTATTAGATCATGAGAAAATGTTTTTCTTTAGTTTTCATTCTTTTTCCTCTTTTTAGCAAATGCTTAAATTCGTTGTTTTCCGCCCATTTTTTTTTGTTATAATATTTCGATTACGTATGATTACAACGTGGAATAACGAAAAACAACTAATTTTAGCATTTGCTAAAAAGAGGAAAAAGTAGAAACTAAAAAAATTATCTTCCCATGATCTCATAAATATAAAGCAAAACGGATACTTGGGTTTGTTCGTTGGAGTATAGCGACCATTAAAAAAAAACAGTTGAAATCGGATGAAAACTGTGGTACAAGGGGCATTTCTAAGCTAAAAACGTGAAAAACGAGGTTTTGGTGGATATATGGGGCAAAACGGGTTGGGTCCGAAATTTTTCTCACTTTTTTATATATCCCTTCATATATCAAAAGTCGTCCAATGGCTCTTAAGGCCGAGCCGAGACTTTCAAATTTCACCGCGGTCTCCCCTTAAGGCAGAGTCTACAATCGACATACGTCTTTCGTTTGCGTCGCGTTGCAATAAATAGAGATGCATTAATTATCTTAGCAATACGACGCAAACAAATGACGCGCGTTTACTATAGACGCTCCTTAAGGCCGAATCTATAATCGATGTACGTCTTCTGTTTGCGTCGCGTTGCAATAAATATAGATATATTAATTATCTTAGCGACGTGATGCAAATGAATGACGCGCGCTTATTGTAGACTCTCCTTAAAAGAAGCGCACTGTTGCCACGTTGGCGCTTAGCACTGCGCGCGCATTTCAAGTGGTAGTGAATCTAGCAAGACTGTCGCTCGAGCCACCGAGAGGGACCGCGCGGCGTCGCTTTTCTGTTTGTTTGACGTTTCTTTTTCTTTAGCTAGACAAATTTCCCGAGAAAAAAAATGGACAACGCCAACACTTAATTAAAGGATTGGGTTAAATTTAAAGATATGAATAAATTTGTACAGTTCCGAACAAATGATTTTGCCCGTAATTTGCAAACATTTTTTAATTATTTCATCAATTTTGCTCCAAAAGTAAACTTTCTATTTTTGTTTTCAGATTTTTAAAATGTTTTCTAACGATTCAATATCGAGATTCAAATTCAGAACTGCAAAGTTTAAATAATAAAATCATTGTAACATATTCGGAAAGTAGGATCAAATGGGAAGCTCTGAGTGCGACTTCAAAAGGAGAAGCACATTCAGTGAACATTTCAGACACATTTCACTGAAGAAAAAATAGCCAAAGTACTTGGATATCCTTAAGGATATCCAAGTACTTCGTTCAAATTGGCAACTTTTTTTCAAGCAAGATTTCAGTTTTGTCTAAAATCTTGCCGTCCCCATACTTTTTCAGATTTTTCATTATTGAATACATTTTTTCGGGAATTTCTTCAATGAATATTGTGAACAATAGTTTATTCAATTTCACACTTGACTCTCGTTGGTCTAACTTCTAATGATCATACGGCAACACTGCACATGTGTTGTATACAACCTCGTAAATTCGGTCCGAGTAGTCACTTGAGCGGACTGTTGCCAGACGTTAGGAATGCACGGATTCAAACCACCCAATATGGCCGTCGTACCAATCAAGAAGCTTTTAATTTGATTGTTTGCAATTATCTGTTCGGAAACTTATGTTTTTTAATCTCGCAAAAAAAACTAGAGAGTGTAACGAACAAAGTCATATACGGTTATGTGTACGAGAAAACGCTTTAAGACTATGAACTATTGGATTGAAGGTGGGAGTATACAGCTCTTATGGACGCAATGTGTTAAATTTCATTCTTTCAAAAATCGTTTTCTCGAAAATATGTTCGGAAACTAAAGTTTATACTGCGCCTAAAAAATACTCTTGGTCTAGTCTATAAACTCTGAAGGGGATTTCCCCCAGAAAAAATTGCCTGAACTACTTGGATATCCTTAAGAATAATTTTCCCTCAGCGTTGATTCTCGTCGAATAAATCCAGCTGTGAATATTACTCACCAAATCGGAGGGTCCGATAACGTGCAGATTTCGTTTTTAGCACATGAAACTAACCCGATGACAATAGCCATCACTAAGAACGAGAAGGCTAAGAGTCTCATGATGATAGTTTCACTAATTTTGATCGAAGAATTTGAATATTCGACTTACACGGTTGTCGTTGGTATAAACTCTCCTAGACCAGACTCGGCTTTTGTAGCTCTGGATTGTCATTAGCATTTTCATTGTTGTGTCACTTTGGAAAATGGACGACAACATTATCACAAGGGAATGGAATATTTTCGACACTTGAGAGAGAATAAATGAGACTCAAGCGTCAAAATATGAGCTCACGGATGCAATGAATTGTCGTTATCGTGAGTCTGATAATTCTGACTTGACCATCTATAAAACATTGTAAGAAGTCGTTTCGTTCAGTGCGAATCGTCGAGATGAAATGATTCTGTTTTTCATGGTGACGTGGATTGTGATACGAAGAGACAAATTAAGAAAAGTAATATAGGTACTTCCAACGGTACTATAAAGATCCAGGAAAAACCACAACGTGGGTTAATCGTGCAAGTCCCATTAACACGTATGAAAAAATTCACTGGGAAACCTATCGAATTCGCTAGAAAGTTCTATTGGAATTCTATAGGAATTCTCTGGGGGTTTCTATAGGATTTCTATTGAAATTCCATTGGAAAATTCTATTTATTTTTTTTTGCGCTGAGGTCCTATGAAGTGATTTGTCCGAATGTGCATGACACAGCGAAGCGAACCTTGGAAGTTATTTTTTATTCTTCAGTCTGCATAGCTGCGATTATGATAAATGAACTCGCTTAATCTTCATGATTTACTCCTCCACTGTAAATATTAAACCTTAGTAACGATTTTTTGAACTCATTCTCATGTCATACTTATGTGCTCAACGATAAGCTAATGGGAACTTCGTCTCACCCATGTTCTCTGTCGGACGGAGATTTTCCAAGAAATATATTATGAATAGTGATATGGCGCTTTGGAGGGATCGTTTCGCTCTAAAACAATAGAGAAGTTTTCGGGACTGTCTCAGTCTCGAAAGGCATATTATTGGCTCCCGCTTTCACGACTCCAAGAAAATTCATCTCGTCTCGTTCTTTCCTTTTTCCGATTTTTAACGTATACGAGACCGAAACCGAGACTGAATATGAGACCAAACATAAAAAACTAGAAAAAGTGGAGACTGTGACGACACAAATTATCTTCAAGCCATAACCAGAGGAGACAATAGTATGCCTTCTGAGACTGAGACAGTCACCAAAATTTCCAAGTTTTTTTTAGCGCGAGACGGTCTCTTCAATACAATTCAGAATTTGAATATTTAAATTGATGATTACAATAAAAGTAATATTAACGGATTGACTACTTAATAATTTAACGGAAATTATAATTTATGGATATGGCTACGGAGCGACATGCGACGGAGAACATGGCCGACACAAATCTCATAGATTGTTTTCGTTCATTTTTTAAATATATTTTCTTGGCGTATAGCTTTTTTAGAATGGAAAATAAAGAAAAATTTTAGATTCGGAGATTGAATCTTTCACAAATAGCACCAAGACGCACCGAGAAAAAACATCTAATATCTGAAACATAATTTCTTGAGACAAGTAATGTTCTTCAATTGTTTAATTCTCTCCGACATCTCAACTCACGTGGCTCGAGAAAGGTCTCATACTTCACAATATTGTTGTACACAAGTGTGATTTTGTCGTAAATGGACTCACTCAAATCGTGTAGAAGAATCATCCATCTTCAAGTATTTATTGTTTTCATGATTTTTTTATTATGCAGTTCCAATATTTCGATATGTAATATATTCATGATATAATTCGCAACGATAGTGATAAAAGAGAATCCATTTGAGTTCCATGAACCGCAAACATTCTGAGATTGAAAGACCATTGAAAATAATTTACTTCTCTCAAGTAAATATGGTCTAGGGTGAACCAACCAGTGTTCGAATCAGACCAGTAATCGAACTAATTGGTACTTTTTCTATAAAATAAATTAGTAGAAGGTAGAGATGCCTCGCGTTATACATGAAAAATAAAATTATGACATTTCCAAATGATATTGTGATGATTGAAAATGTCTAAGTTACCTTATTACCAGCGGAAAAAACAGTTTTCGATGACACGCCGCCAATAGCATATTCCCATTCCAGAATACGCATTTCGATTACTTGGTTTTCACACATTTTCACCCTACGTATTAGGAAATTTTTTACTCAGTGTGGAATAATGATTCCACATGTGATCGAAATATTTGCACAGCTAAGTATCAATCCCGATAGATTGAGGTCCGTGAGCTTCATGGATACGAAAATAAGTTTTTCATTTACTACATTTCCGACAGGACAGTTACCGAGATTATTCGTCTGACGCTCAATTCCTACGTAAACTACACTGCGCGGTGATAACAGAATCAACTTGTTCTCGAGCGTCAGAGATCAGGAAGTGATCGCTCGGGAAATTTCGCCGTGACGAAGTTTAAGTTATAAAAGCATGGACCAGTGCTATAGTTAATTAGTTGTGTCGTAGAGAAAAATGAAATTCATCATATTCACGATTTTGATGATCTGTGTTGTCTCGGGAACAGGCAGATCTATCGATGCGAGATTGAAGCAAGTCAAGGATGGGGTTGGAGCGATTGTTGTGCCCTTCCATGAGGGATCTCCCACTGGAGTAAGTCTAATATAAATAATGTAAATAATGGACTAATAATATAATACGTTGCATAATTTAATTGGTTTTCTATCTGTATTCATTAGAAGGACTCTTCTGTTACGAATTACAATTTCATCATCAGAGCACCAGCTCCCCCTCGGCCGCGTCCAACACTTTCATGGTAACTTTCATTTTTGATAAAACTTCATGATCACGATTCTTCTACACTTGGTTTTACCAATCTTTTATGACGTTCCAGGAGAGCACGGAGAGACCCATTTGATTCAAACATCCAATAACTGGGACGTACGTGTGCTAGCTAAAAGGAAAACCGGATGTTGACGAAGGCTATGCAGAGATAACTGGATTTGAAATTATTATATCGGTGTTTTTTCATTGTTGAAGGATAAACAGAAAGAGGTTGAAAAATGAATTTCTTAGACCAAAATAAAAAATGGAAAAATTATACTGTGTTGTTGGTTGCTCGCTTCGATCACTCCCATTGCGGGTGGGTTGACATTCGACTGGGTTAACAATAACTTCCCGACTAATTGTCTCTCATTAATTCATAAAAATTAGATTTTCCTATACAACTTATTTTATTGAGATATTTTTCATTCGATTTACTCAGCTCAAATTTGCTAAGTTTTGTTGTTTGATTTTCTTAATAAAAAAAAACAGGAAAATAAAATTTTAAAAAATAATGAAAAAATATTATCTATATTGAGAAATCTTTGAAAAGTTTAAAATTTAAAAAATTCATGTTCGAATTACTCCGAAACCGCTGAGACGATTTTGTTGGAATTTCACTGAAGTTTTAGTCATACAAAGTTGCAATCAATTATGATGACAAGAAATCAATTTCATCGTTTTTATCAGAGGAATCATCAAATATGTAAAAAAATGTTATTTTGCGACGTTTGTTCACAAGTTTTATTCGAAAATCTAAAGAACAGCTGCGGCGATGTTGTTCAGAATCTAATCAGTTCTAACGCACGAGTGTGCGTAAAGTAAATTCTCGTGCGCAAAGCTTGGCTTTAAGTACTCGTGCACAAATAGTAAATTGGAGTAAAAGGGCACAAATTTCGTTTTCGACGAATGTGAAGTTTACAGGCCGAGCCGAAGGCGAGGTCTGTATTCACATTCGTTGATACCGAACTTTATGCCCGAGTGGTCTAGTCTATTTTATGCCACATCGTGCAGAAGTCAATTTTGCGTGTGATAAGCTCGACTTATTGCACGGCGTGCCATAAAAAAACATATTACCCCCACTACCATCCCGAGCAGTAAACTCGGTGCCACAAAAATAGGATGCATTACACGTGCGTGCAAAAAGGTGGAACTTTACGCACTAGTAACACAATATACTATTAAAATATACAAGCAAACAATTTTGAAACATAAAGTCGATCGGGAATCTTCTGAATTTTTGGGAAAATTTATCAGATTTCGAGAAAAAAGTGGAGAATCGGTTCACGTCAACAATTAAAGTTTTGTTTTGCGATTTCCCCCATGAAGCAGAGATCACCATCAATATTAAATTTCAGTAATATTACAAGGATTTGACCCTTAGATTAATGAGGGTGAAGAACATGTTGATCAAATTTTATAAATAGTATAATATTAATAATCTAATTTTTTCGATTAAGGATTAATTAAAATTTGATTATATGGAACTGTAAATTTACCATTAAATGAATAGTTCAAATTTCTTAAAACGGGGATTTTTGATTACACAAATAATCATCAATCTTACTACCTCAATTATTGGTTAATAAAATAGTTAAAAATTGGAACATTTGAATTGATAATACTTGAATAATCAGAAAACTATGGCTATAATTTTTAAAAAATTCAGAAAACTTCTGATCAAAACCTACGTTTTGATTTTTTTTTTAGGTATTTTCGAGCATTGAGAGTCGAATTGTGCGAAATCTCCTTTTTTATCCATAAATATTCTGAAGAAACGCAAAAAAATACCGAAAATTTTGAGGCCGGACTTCCCTGCGAGATTTGGTGAAATGGTTCATATATAAGTAAAAACATCCACGTGTTCCCCTCACCATTTGTCTAATTTCTTTCAATTTCTCTATAAACCGCGAAATAATGACTGATTAGTCTCAGAAACTTCCCATGGGACACCCTATATTTTTCACCCAACTCCCCCAAATCATGCTGGACCATGAAATCGATCAATTTCACGAAATTTAGTGGATGGACGTAATCATCCGCATTATGAGCGTAGAGTTTAATTTACGAATCACGCGATGACAAATCGAGTGGTTCCTCCCTAATGTCAGAGATGAAATAGAGTAATGACGCAGTTTTTTCGGACGAGGCTCTAGGTATAAAAGCATCCGGTCTCGTAGGCCCACTACACTTGTGCAAGAAAAAATGCGGCTTGTAATTTTTGGAGTTCTGACGGTTTGTGCCATAGTTGTGAGCAGATCGGTAAAACCTGATGACTTGAAATTCGTGGATTTCGACAGAGGAATCCTTGGAGCTGAGAGACCTTCTGCGGAGAGCGAATCAGTACGTAATAATTTAGACAGACTTTAACCACTTCTGTGTTCAGTTTTCCTGTAAACCCAGGAATGTAATTGCGTAATATTATAATTGAGCAATATTATAAAATATCAGTTTGTAATGTATGACGGAATATGGAAATAACTAGGGAAAATCACAGACCGGATCGTTTTTACCCGGTGTAACTACAAAAAACTTGCTTGACCTTGAAAATACTCCTTGTGCTGTAATTTTCATACGATTTTAGATTTTTCCTTCCGAATGGAAGTTTTGTTTTTGGTCGATTTTTCGATTTTTTAATTTTGATTGGAAATGGTCTAGAGTGTCATGAAATGTGAAGAAATTATGTTTTTAGGGTCATGTCTGTATGTATGTATGTGCAGATTTGGGTTTTTGGTGATTAATTTTTAAAAAATTCAACATAAATACGGTGAAATTTTTAGATACAAATTTGCAATTTTGACTCATGACAGTTATAAGTGAGCTCTACTTTGGTGCGTTGTTTCAGCCCGATCGGTCCAGTAGTTCCTGAGATATAACAACTTGTTTAAATTTCCTTTTTCCTCAATATCTCACCAACAACTGCACCGATTTAAATTTTTTTTCAAAATACTCGTTTCGATGACCTCTACCTAGATGAATCATATCATATATACTGATTCATACAAAGTTTGGAGATATTAGCGTTTTTCCGTTTTTTCATTAAAAATTTTGTGCGCACGATACTCAAGAAAAAATAGAGATAGCGACTTGAAATTTGGTATGCTTCTAGCTTTTATAATATGAAAGGTTCGTATTTTGGATGGAGGCAATCGGCCAAGCGGTTCTGGAGATATTCAAGTTTTTGTATAAATGTATTTCTTCAAATAACTCATGAACTACTCGACGGATTTCTTTTTTTTTTTTCAAAATACTCATCTCGGCGGCGACTATCTAGATCAATCAAAATATGTATACCCGTTCATAAAAAGTTTCCGAGATATTCCCGTTTTTTTTTCATTCTTGTGCGGAAATTTGGTATGATTATATCTCTCATAATATTAAAAGTGCGTATTTTTAATGGGCGTAATCGGCCAAGTGGTTTGGAAGATATTCATTTTTTTATAAATCCGTTTTATCAAAAGGTTAAATATTTTTTCCTGAACACTTTACAGAGTGTAGACACTTTTAAAAGACACTTCCAAAAATTGCCTAGGATAAAAACAAGTTACAAACAAAAAACAAATTACAAACAAGTTGATATATTTCAGGAACTATTGGACCGATCAGGCTGAAACAAAGCACCAAAGTCATACATACAGACATGACCCTAAAAACATTTCTTCACGTTTCATAACATTCTTGACTATTTGCAATCAAAATTAGAAAAACGAAAAATTGACCGAATAAAAATCTGCTTTGTGCTTATTTTATAAGAAAAGGAGATATTAGTTGAAAATCATCAAGATAAACAGCAATATCAGATTTAGAAAATTATTAATAGGCCTACTCATCAAGCAATCTTGAATCCAGCAATCTAATATCTAATTTTGAAGGTTAAATTTCTTCAATATCAAGTGTTAGTTAATAATTTCCACGTAGAAATAGAATTAATGTGGTTGCGTATGTGTGCCTGTCTTAGGAACTGGGAAGCGCTACGGATCCATTCGGAAGCTTACTACCAATGGAATTGGTAGAAATAAAAGAAAGAAAACGACTAATGAGTCAAAAAGTAACGGTCGCATGCCTTCTGTCGAATAGGCTTGAACCCCTGCTTGTTTTTTAATGTTCATTAAACTCTAAAGAAAAAGTTAAGGATCCGTTTTACTTTATTCGCAAGACCATGAATAAATGAATTTTGAGATTCATAAATTTTTCGCTTTTCTAGAGTAATAGGACTAAAAATTCATTGTTTTTAGTAATTGAATTTTGTAATCATACGTAATCAAATTTTTATGAACAAAAAAAAATGGCACTTTGAAGCAAAAAGGCGGGTTCAAAAGAAAATCTGAAATTCAAAATTCATTTATTCATGATCTATTGAGAAGAAAGTAAAACGGATGCTTAATTTTATTGTTTGGACTGTAACGAACATTGAAAAAAACTAAAATCGCATGAAAACTACGGCGCAAGGAGTATTTTGAAGATAAAAACAGGAAAAACTGACGTCCGCGATTTTCTCTAGTTATTCCCATATTTCGACATATATCACAAACTGTTCAATGGGTCCCAAGGCCCAGTGAAAACTTAAAATTCACCGACGTATCCCTTTAACAAGAGTTCAAAAAAATAGAATAAGTTCGGAGTCTTAGAAAAATCCTTTCATGATGGGACCCTTCGGAAAGTTGTTTCATTTCTGTATATTTAATAGGCGACACTCGATCCATACATTGTCTCCATGATGAAGAGACCGAGGAGAAAAGGATCACCACTGGACACTCTGAATGTAAAGAAAAACACTTTCGTTTGCAATAATTTGAAATCATTCAAAGGCATGCGATTATTTGATAAATGACTGACTTCATTCGCAGGTGACTGTCGAGGACCTTTCAAATACCTGAGATATCAATTCATATATATTTTTCTTTTTTTTAACCCTAGATTGGTCACCCTATGTGGGAAACCCCGCTGCGCGCTGTAATAGTAACAGTCATAATTGAAAATCTCAAAATTAAATTAATCATGAATTAAATTTGCCGCCTCAGATGACTCAAACCAACGAGAAATAAGCGGCGTGGCAGACATTCGAGCTATCGATAGTTATCGACTTTAAGTGTATGTTCTTTTTAGAATAGGATTACAATTGACTGGCTAACCACAAAAATTGAAAAAAATTTGACTTTGTCAATTGAAGTTTCTAAAAAATTATAGTAGTTTTTAGAACAATATATATTTCCCAAAGTTCCTAAAAAAATTATTTCGAACAGATGAATTATTTTTTCCCATATTAAATGAAATTGCCCATGACGCGATGTTGCCGGAAACTCGCTAAACGCGCCCGGGCAGTGTAGAGTAAATTCGGCAACGCTAAAGCCTAAATAACACAGCGGCGAATCCCCGCGGAGGTGACCAATCGCAGAGTCGCACTTTGTGACCGGACTAGGGTTAACACATGAAATTTTATGTAAATTTTTAATGATCAACAAATGATTGTTCAATAAATAAATAAAGCACACAAGTTTTTAATAAACGCAAATTTAATAAATACGTTTTCAGTATTTTACACATTTATTCAGTTATCATAAAACAATAAAATTATTTCAGATTGTATCATAAATAAGTTGCTCTCCATCCTTGTCGCAATAAAAAAAATTATTCAATGGCCACAACTACAGGGGCTTCGTCATCGTCTTCATCCTGTAAGCTCTCAAAGTCCCACGAAAATTTGCTAGTCAATCTGTTCCTGGCTCTCACAGCCTCAGATTTCAATCTGCCATCAACCTCAGGATTCGATTCAATGTTGGAGAAAAGGATGCGGAGATGGTGATAAACAAAGTTATTACTCGAAACAATATCACAGAGGAGGTCCTCAGGGACGTGGGTCAACTGTATTTCAAGTGTGCGTAGGAATTCAACATAAATCGCGCGACGCTCCGGAATAGTTTTGTCGGCACGACATATGAGGGAGATGAGTTTTTTCCAGTGTTCAAAGGCGTCCCAACTCTGGCCCACGAGGAAACATACGAAGGATAGTTGCAGCTCACCTATGATTTCCATTGGCCTGAGAATTTTTTCAATTAAGAGGAATTAATTCGCTTATTTTCTAGCAGAATAAAGTTTTATTAAATTTCCAAACATTATTCATGGAGGAGACATCTGTTATTTTAGTCACGAGATCGAAGGCGCGCTCCGTACGTCTATCACTATAATTGATTTTATATGATTCATCGCATTATTATTGTAAGTTGATTTGAATCAATGTTATTTCACTATACAAATTTCTATAGTATTACTAAGGTGAAATTCGTGGGAAGTGATGAAAACTTCTTTTGAAAATCCATGAATTTTTTTTTATTGAAAAGGGATGGAAATTTCCATCGAAAACTTCAATGGAGGATCAACACATGTTCTGTTGGAAATGATGTTGGTATCGAAGATCAGAAAATAGTTCAATGTTAATTCATACGGGCATTATCGATAGAAAACCATGAATATCTCGGACACTAAATACCATCAAGTCAGTCCCTTTTATACAGACATATAAACCAAACAGACATATATACCATTTACTCAAAGATATAACTCTTTGTAGACATAATTTTTGACTTTGCCTTTTTTTCGCTGTTGTCTTGTGAAAACTTTCAATGGATCTCATGATCGAATTTTCGAAAGAGCTACATATAATTGTCCGTGATTGAGAACTTCTCTCCGTAGATTTACACCAACATTACCAATATCGTCAACCAAATCAGTATAATCACTACCATCATGCATGCGATTTCTCTTGCAGAACATTCAGGAATAAAAGTGTGACATCTCCTTTTTTATATGAAATAATGAATTCGATTCAATCACTCATTACATTATATTAATTCGATAAAATTTTTCATCTTCGATTTTTATTCTTTGCTATTTTTTCATGTATTCTATCAAAATTTGAGAATAGAAATTGAATTGATGGGTATTGTTTCATTATTTGAAAAAATATATCAATTTTAAAACTTTCCGGAGACACTGAAAAATCGAAATTTTTATTTTCTTGCTGATCACGTATCTCTGTTCGTTTTTTCACTTTCTTCCATTGAAATTAGATCATAGAAAGGGAATATATTGATATTTTTTCGTAATTAAAAAAAAAAGTTTTGAAATTTTTTAGAAAAATAAAAAATTGTTTTCTTTTATTTTCTTGCTGATAATCTCTCCCTGCATTTTTCTCAGTTCCTCTCAATGAAATCAGATCATGAAAACGAAAAATTTCATTTTCATGATCTGATTTCATTGAGGAATTATTATATTATACTGATATTATTTAACATAAATATCTCTTCATTTAAAAATGAGAAAAATTGTTCCCACAATTTGTATACTACAATAAGAATAGAATCCAATAAATTTAAGTTAATCTTACCAGAAAAAAAAATTGGAGAGAAAACAATCAAATAAATCAATATAATATAACATAATCCAGCGACGGGCGCGAAGCGCCCGTTCGCTAGTTCAGAATATAATTGAATAAAGGGGTTTTATAAAATCACCCATTATATCATTATTTTCTATTTATATCATTATTCATTTTCGAAAATTTTGAATGTGCGAATGGACACATTTCGAAATGAAGTAATCTAGAAGTAACACTCATTCCCTAAATTAATGTCCATTTCATAAGAATTCTTCATGCACGAAAGATGATTTTGCTACTCACTCTCTGACTTTTTTGAACAGAATGTTGAGTGCGTAACTCGAGTCCAACGAGTGTTGAGTAATTTCCGTGGGTGTCGCATCGTCGGGGTAATATTTGTCCGGTAATTCGGTCAATCTTAATTCCGTCCCTGGTAGGGGCTTCATGTCCGGTAGCAAGAGGTCTTCTTTTTCTTCAAGAGTCATTACTGGGCGTCTCCGTTTACGAGTTTGAGTGCCTCTTGGACGAGATGCATCGTCACAGTGGGCCAATTCCAGCGCAGATCTGACGTATCTGTTATTTAAATGATAAACAATAGTGAAACGTTTTGAATTTGAACGTTGAATTCATCTCAATCGAAGATCAATACATTTCTTTCGTTAAGTGAAGAGGAATCCGACAAAAGTCATGTGACCGTAACTTTTTGCGTTATTCGTCTTTTTCTTTTTTTATTTCTACCAATTCCATTGGTAGTAATCTTCCGAATGGATTCCTAGTAATTCCCTATCCCTGTGACAGGCATACAACCGTAACCACATGCTACCGGGTGCCTACAGGACAATATTCAACTTTTTAATGAAAACGATTTGTGCAAAAGGTTAAATAACTCCAAAACTGCTGGGCCGGTTGCGCCTATCCAAAATACCAATCTTCAGTATTGTAAGAGTATTGTAATTTCCTATTCCCATTTTTTCTCAAGTTATCCTGCGTACAGGAATGAAAAAATTTAAAAACGAAAAAACGAGGAAACTTTGTATGAACGGATATATATATTTTGATTGATCTAGATAGTGGCTGTCGAGACGAGTATTTTGAAAAAATTGAAATCTGTCAAGTAGTTCATGAGATATTTGAAGAAATATATTTTCACAAAAGGTTGCATATCTCAGGAATCGCTCGGCTGATTGCGCCCATCGAAAATACCATTCAGTATTATAAGAGCTAGAACCATACCAAATTTCAACTTGCTATCTCCTCTTTTTCTCAAGTTATCGTGTGTAGAAACTGTATATTAAAGAGTCCATACGTTCTGAGTGACCTATATAGAGGCCATCAAAACGAGTATTTAAAAAAAAAAATTGAAATCGGTGTTGTAGTTTTTCGGATTTTGAGGAAAAACGAAATTCATACAAGTTGTTACGTCTCAGAAACTACTGGACCGATCAGGCTGAAACAGTGCGCCAAAGTTAAGCTCAATAATAGCTACAATGAGCCAAAATTTCAGATTTTTATCGACAAATTTTACCGTATTTATGTTGAATTTTCTAAAAATTAATTACCAAAAACCTAAGTTGTCAGATACATACATACAGCAATGACCCTAAAAGCATCATTTTTTCACGTTTCATAACATAGACCATTTACAATCAAAATTAGAAAAACGAAAAATTGGTCAAAAACGAAGCTTCCATTCGGAAGCAAAAATACATTATTTTAATTCATATTTTGATGTTGATAGTGAGAACTCCTCACCCACATAGTGGTCGACATCTCTCCATAAGATTATTATCGATTTTACTAGTCAATTCTTTCCAAGGCTTCCACATGTCGTAGGGATATGGCCCAAGGAATTTATCAAGATCCTTCAAATTCTCCCTGAATCTGATGACGGTTTCTTCATCGACTTCTGTAATAAAAATTCCCTTTGGATTGGATCAAATTTCAATCGTACGTTCTTAATGTTAATTTCAACCCTCACCTTGATCGTCAAGATCCTCAGCCATTTTACTCCATTTCTTGACGAGTAATTCTTTCTCCTTGAACATGTGGAAAAAACCAACTCTAGGGGACAATTCCCCTAGTTCATTTACTGCACTAAAATTAGATGTAGCAAATTAGTGCATATTTATGGGCCAGTGATTTTATCTTTGGAATTGATTGCAAGTGAATATTCAGGAATGAAATAGAGGGAAAGAAAATTAGTGAGTTGTTGACTGTCACATAATAGTGAGTTTTTTTGAGAATAAAATATACAGGGGATCCCAAAACTCATCGCAGATATCGTAAGAATAGATTGGGGGGCGGGGGCTTATTTGGTGACGAAAACTCTGAAGTTTTTGCCCTCGACACTTTGTTTATGAGTTATCAAAAAAAACCAGCCAATTCAATGCAATTCCCTGATAGAAAAATCATATCGCCTCTCCTATTTATGGCAAAGGGATAATGGCATTCAGCACAGAGAAAAAAATTATTTTTGCCAAATATTTAATTACTTGAGAGAAGCATTTATTTTTTTCAAAATGGTATTTCTGCAATGGAGTCATTCCCGGGCGAGTCTGATTAGATTTCTATTATCAGAATAATGTTGCTCTAAAGGATAACTATATTGCACATGATTTTGGATGAACTCCTCCAATGATTTTTCATTTCATTATTCTTTTTTTCCTGAATTTCTTAGTTTTTAGAGGGAAGAATTTTAATTAATTTTTTAATGATGATAATTATTCAAGTTCACTCAAGGTCATAACTAATATGATCATCCTCTAGAGCAATATAATTGTCATAATTGAAACCTAATGAGGATTGCCTCGACTGGGGAAATACGATATTGAAAAAATAAATACTTTTCTCAAGTAAATAGATATTTGGCAAAAATATTTCTTTTTCTCAGTGTATATTGTGGTCTATACCAAATTTTCAAAGGTATATGAATATCCTTAAAAACGATTCCTACAAAAATTTCTTCATCTCCCACAGATTCAGAGAGATAAAGTGAAGGTGACTATTACCTGTAATGTATGAAATGCAATCCAGGAGGTATCATCTTCATCCCCTTGAAGTTTTCTCCTGTATTCCAGGACTTTAAGTCAATACCGAAATCTGTACCTTTGGGGACTTCAGTGATGATTATCGTCCCTCCATTTTCGAACAGATATTTGGCTAGTTCTGGTGCCATATTTAAGGCATCTCTCGTTGCCATCTTCTGCGATTAAAAAAAAATTTTACTTATTGTTTCAATGAAAAACATTAGTTAGACGACCGCAGGTAAACGTTTCTTATAACAATCTCGTTTAAAAATAACTAGGAAATTGCTCTTGTATTGAATATAGTATAGTGATTTTTGCTAATAAATTAGCAATATGTTTCCGAATGGTTATTTGGCACATCATTTCCTTCAATCATGTCTAATTCATTGTTTATTTCATTTTATTAAATTGAATAAGATTTCTTTTCAACGAATTTTATCAGATTTTCAACTTAGTTGAATGTTCTTATTATTATTTTTATTATCCCTTTCTTCTATACAACCAATTGTCTTTTGTACAGTTCTATCTCTCCTCTCAGCCCTTCGATAAAATGTTAATAGAAAAATGTTATTTATACATAATTGAATGAATTTGAAACATCACATATGAAGAAACCATCAGAAAACTCACTTTCAGGGAAATTCATGAAAAATTCGAAATTTTCGATAATCATTATAAAAATCAAATCAACCAATATAGCTACCGTAATCATCTTTTAACTTCGACTTAATGGCATTGAAACAAAGATTTTACGCTATGATTGAACTCATTTGAAGTATGATATCCAAAGATTCCCGGGAATTCTGAATTTCAAAAAATACAGAATTTTTGCAAATTTTCAAATAAATCAAAATAACGATTATTGCTATCGTCTTCATCTTCGAACTCGGTCAAAAGAACATCTAAACAAATTTTTTAAGCCATCATTCAATCAATTCAGAACATTGTTTTTTAGTTATCAGAAAAAAAACAAATTTGAAAAATTGTTAAAGTTGAAAAAATAAATAAATGAATTAAATTTTAATTAATGGTGATTGCTACGGTTCAACAATATCTACCATTTGAACGATTACAATGCTTCAATTCGGAAGCAAAAATCTTCAAGGTCATTTTTACGGAGAAGCAATCACGCTATTGGAGGGTAATATAACTGGCCGCTAATTTTTTCAAATAAAAAACAGGAATTTGCAATGATTGCCACTGCATAAAGATGAAATAATTTATTTTGTTCTGTAAAATTACTTTGATGTTAACCTCAAAAAATTATTCCATGATATATGCTTGAACGAAATTGATTACTATTTATTCTAATTATGGCGATGAATAAATAATGAACGGGAGGAAATTATACTTACAGAATATTTGATGATTAAAATGATTCACACTATGAAATTCTCCGAATGACTCGGAAGTTGTTTACATTCGTCCTGTGGTGTTGTATCACATCATCGCATGGACACGTGGGCGCAGTGTCGAGACACTACCACTATCAAATGATCATATAGAGGAGCTTGGGGTAAAATGGACACTTTTGACTTTTTTCAAATGTTAAAGACAGCTTGAAATGTTGATGAAATTCAATATTTTTTTTCAATGCAAAGAACATTTCTTTCCCTTTGTAATTAGCCTAAACTGAGCTCAATTGATAAATTTGTTTCTGAGTTATGAGTTTAAAAACAAGTCCAGTGTCCATTTTACCCCATCCTCCCCTATAGAACTTTGAGTTCATAAATCAAAAGTTTATAAAAAAAAATTTTTTGACTATTTTGATTTTTGCAAAAATAAAATCACTTTATTTATGTCCACAATTTTGAATACCAAACATTCTTTCATGTTAAATATTAGGCTGTCCTTAAATAATATTTTACCACTATGCAATATATCACGAAATACTGACCAGAGAAGGAGATTTAATATTAAATTAGTCCTGTCAATGCATTTATTTTTCCTAGTTTTAATCAGATTCTCTCAGAAATTGGCATGAATTATAAAACAATTGAAATTTGGGATTAACTTTCAAGACGTCGATTCTGAATTAAACAACATAAAAATATAAAATTCATACGAAAAAATGATTTCAATAACTAAAAAATGAAGGAGGAATGAAGGTGAATATTTACATAATCTATTGCTCGACCTAGAAATAATTTTTTCTTTTTTATGCGAATAGGAATCATTATTCTCGTTTATTAATTTAACGTTTTTTGTTTCCAGGAGATTCCCTCAGGGAGTTGATACGAATATTCATCGGTTTGTTTCGTCAAATTACAAAATAATTGGGATAAGCATTTGTAATTTAATATAAAAAGCAATCGATTGAGGAGTAAATCGAGGATAAGAATATAAAATTTATAAGAAAAAAAAATTCAAAAACTATTCAAAATTAAGGAGAAATCGAGAAGAATGTTTAGGTAATCTATTGTTGCATCTAGAAATAAATTTTCTTCTTTATGAAGAATCACTTTATTTATGTTCACACATCTGAATACAATACGTTTTTAAATATTAAATCTTAGGCTGCTTTGTATAATAACATTTTATCACTATGCAATATATTACGGAAATTGACCAGAGGAGAAACTTCAATATTAAATTACTCTGGTTAAACTCTCAATCAACCCTTTTTGTTTCAAGCAGATTCTCTCAGAGAGATGATGTGAATATTCATCAGTGTGTTTCGTTAAATTATAAAACAATTGGAATAAGAATTTGTAATTTAATATAAAAAACAATCGATTATGGAATAAGTAGAGGATAAGAATGAATTCATAAGAAAAAAAAATTTAAAAACTATCAAAAATGAAGGAGAAGTCAAGAAGAAAGATTAGGTAATTTATTGTTGCACCTGGAAATAAATTTTCTTCTTTATGAAAATAAGAATCACTTTATTTATGTCCACAAATCTCAGTACAAAACATATTTTTAAATATTAAATCTTAAGCTACTTTCAATAATAACATTTTATCACTATGCAATATATTACGAAATACTGACCAGAGAAGAAAACGCAATATTAAATTACTCTCGCTTATTAATTATCGATTATTCTTCTCGTATCAATCAGACTCCCTCAGAGATTGGCACTAATATTCTTTAGTCTGTTTACCTCAATCATGAAATAATGTCCTGATTGTATAATTGGGCAACGTTGTTATTTTCAAGAGAATTCACTCTTCAAACTCGAGAGAACTATTTGTAATTTAATATCAATTTTCTTTGTCGTGGAATAATGGTCAATAAATTACGTCTTAATTATAATATCTCTTATTGTCAATTCGGTCAGGATTAATTACTTTAATAGAGAAATCATAAGAATTTCAGAAATTGATTGTAATAAATAATAGGGGACGAGCATCTGAAGTTGATCGAAAAAAATAGTTTGAGAAATTGTCAAAAATAATATGAAATAGTAGAATGATGGATGGGTGGTGTTGCAGGATGAATTAGGATGAATACTTGGATGATCTGTCGTTGCATCTACCAATCGTCATCGCTGTCAGAGAACACTGGTATATCTGGTGGATCCAAATCAAGACTCACATCAGGGAGTTCAAATTTCGATGATAATACTGGTGACATTGGTGGTGTTAGTGGCAATTCAGGATCTGAGTCGAAGCCTTCAGGTACGATTTGTACTTCACATTTAGCCTTACGTATTTTTTTCAATGCCTCGAGATCACTGTCCAATGAATATGCTGAAAAAATCAATAAAAAACGAGAATAAATAATAACGTAATAATAATCCGATAAAATTTGTAGTCTCCAATTTCCCATTTCTGTCATTTATTCTATTCATTCTATCAAAAGACAAGGATTCGAAATCGAATTGATGGGTATTCTTTCATTATTCGAAAAAAATCGATTTTAAAACTTTGCGAGACATTGAAAAATTAATGTTTTATTTCTTCTCGCCTACGTTTTTTGAATTTTTTTCATTTCTTCTCGTGGAAATTGGATCATAAAATTCCAAAATATTTATATTCTGCTCATATTCGAAGAAAAACCAGTGATTCCAAGTTTTCACTGACACAAATGAAGAAAAACAAATTTTCTCCATTTTCTAGCCGATTATCCCTCTTCACAAATTTTCAGTCTCCAATTCGTGATTGTTGCAATTCATTGCCATTTATATAATTCTATTCATTCTATCAAAAGACAAGGATTCGAAATCGAATTTATGGGTATTCTTTCATTATTCGAAAAAAAAATCAATTTTAAGACCTTCTGGAGGCATTGAAAAATTATTTTTTTTAGTTCTTTCCGCCCACTTTTTTTTTTGCATTTTTACATACATACAGACACCGTCTAAAAATTGCATATTCAGACTTTCTAGACCATATTTCGTTGCACTAACACTAAAATAATCTTCATTTCGTCTAGAGTCACTCAGATTTGGTAAAATGTGAGAATTCTATTTTCATGTTTTTGTATTTGATTTAATTGGATTAGATATAAAAATAGAATTTAATTGGTACATACGGGGTACCAAGTGGTCATCTGTATAGATGGGGAAACACTCAGGCTCTGGGTAGACGAATCTCGTCTTCTCGCTACTCTTCGGTGTCACTGGCTTTCTGAAGAGAAGATCGTCAGTTCCTTTCTGCTTAATTGTCAGATTGAAGTAAGGGGATTTGGATGTTGGGGAGAGACTTTTCAATTGTTTCTCACGAACAATCTGAAGCTGAAGAAATGAAAATGAAGATAAAAAATTATATCAATGCAATACGAATGGAAAATTCTAGCGGCACTGAAATCGACGAACAAGGTTATTTCGAATTTATTTTTAAAACAAGGGTATCTCGAAATTCATTTTTCGAGTTTTCCTTCTGTTGATAGCTGTATCAGTGGTATGAATGCATTAAAAAGTACAAATAACATGAAGTAGTTCACATTGGAAGAGAAATAAAATGATTTGCGAGCTCCATGAGACTTCAAAATGGATGTGAACAACCAGCTTTCACATGAATTTTGAGATACTCTAGTCTTAACGAGAATTTTGAGATACCCTTGTTTTAAAAAGAAATATGCAATCCCCTTGTTTTATCAGGAAATATCGAAATGTTGGAGAGATAATAGAAAAGAATGAAGAATTTCCATTTCCGACCTTTGGAATAGAATACAGAACAAAAATAACAATCACCTTCGACACTACTTCCTTCTGGCGAGGTGTTGAAGGACGCATAGCACAATCAAGAGTGTTGACCTTGCCCTTGGCCAGAGTGAATGTCTTCTGGGATGGAGTGCAAACATTTAACTCACTTTTGGGTCGAATGGATAGCCCCTTTGGCTTGGGAGTGCTCCCCTGCTTCAGAGGCCCACCACCGGCCCCCAGGGCATTCGTCTTCACCGAGAATCTGCCCAGTGCATCCGTGGACCCTAGAACAATCCCAAAAATTGGTGAAAATAACAGCCAAAAATGAAATTCAACAGCCGAAAATAAAATCGAAAAGCTTTAGGAATGAAGAGAGAAGTGAACATCAGTTTTTAATCTGCAATAACTCAAGATCGGCAGAGTAAAATTGAATAGTTTTGCTTTTACGCCAAAGATATTTTCATAGCCTTTAAAATAAGTGCTGTTTTATTCGAATTGCATCGTTGGGTCAGCAGATATGGATGATTCCACAAGGTTCATTGCTCGGGAAAAATGTAAGCTGAAACATTTCGACTCACCAATTTTTTGTTGATTCCTGGAGGTCACATTTGTCCCCCCGAATAGATTGAAGATGCCAGACATTTTGTGTCAATGTTCTTTTGCTCCGAAAAGCGTCAAAATTTCGTTGAATGTCAAATACAAAGTCAAGTAATTTTATTTCCAGGCGAATTCGATGTTGCTCTTGCTTCGATTTTCGTTGTTATGGCGATTGATTCGACAGGATTGTCCAACCGTCGAAGTAAAAACACTATTGCGCATGCGAGAATATGACGTCACGTCTGTGAATACGGAGATTGCCTTCGGTGGGAAACCCAGTAGGAATGTTTGCTCCATAGTTTTACGAAGGAGATTCTACTTTATCGACTGATCTGAATAAGTTTTCAGATTTTTGTCCTTTCTAGAATGGTTTTTCGTGGTGAGTGGCTCCCGCGTTTTTATTAGCTCCCCTGTGATTGGTCGATTCCATAATCATTAGATGTATTTTATTTGAATGCTATGGGAACAGTATCACAACAAACGGTGTAGCTAAAGTCTTTCGTTTCGTTTTTTAATTTTAGTGCACAGTTGCTAATGTTCGCGGGGAATTGATTATTTCTAATGAACGGTGTAAATATATTGAGTTAAAGAGTTCTAGAAATTTGAGGGATCGTTGTTTTTTTATGCAGTTGTGATATAAAAAGCTGCAAAAATGAACGAAGATTTGAAGTTTATCATTGCTGAGCTGAATAAAATATTCAAGAAGATTCATACGTTGATTTCTTTCAAGTCTGTGCAGTCTGGAGATCTATTACAGGTGAGAGAATAGCTATCTACGTCACAAGGCCGACGAAAATTTTTTTCAGCAGTGTGAGGGTTGCAGACCGAGGCGAAGCCGCGGAATGCAATCACGCGAGTCAGAATAGTATATTTCGATACGAGTGAGACAGCTTCACCTCTGGCCGCCAATTTCACACTCGTGACAATTTCCGTCTCACATGTCTCCAACAATATTTTTCATCACGCTGTGAGAAAAAGTAACTTTTCTGTACTGCTTCTCACGATTTCTGGTCTGGGAATTGGTATTACATACTTCCCAAACTCGAAAACTTGAAAATCACTACAGAAAAATATTGTTCCTGGGCTGTTGCGATGGGGTTTTTTTACTCGTGTGGTTGGCCAGTCCTCGCCTACGGCTCGGAGGCCAACGCTACACGAGTAATAAACCTTATTTGAATGCTATGGGAACAGTATCACAACAAACGGTGCAGCTAAAGTCTTTCGTTTTTTAATTTTAGTGCACAATTGCTGATGTTCGCGGGGAATTGATTATTTCTAATGAATGGTGTAAATATATTGAAAGATATATTGTAGGCACGCTCCGCGTGCCTAAAAGTCCAATTTTCGCCACATTGTGATGAAAAATATTGTTCGTAACTCGTGAAAAAATGTTTTTTAGCTCGTGGGATTATATCACTTGCCTTCGGCTCGGGATATAAACCTCCCACTCGCCAAAAAACACTTTTTTGCACTCGTTACGAAATATACTATTTCGTGTCACGGGACCTGAAAATTATTATACACACCTCGCCATGGAAAACATATCACCCTCTCCCACGTGGTTGCCATCCTCGCCTTCGGCTCGGAAGGCAATCTTGCACGTGCTTGCCAGTCCTCGCCTACGGCTCGGAGGCTAATGCCACACGAGTAAAAAACCCCATCGCAACAGGCCGGAAAATACTATTTTAGGCACGCTTCGCGTGCCTATAACGTCCCTTTTCCACATATTATGATGAAAAATATTGTTCGCTACTCGTGGCAAAAGTGTTTTTTGGCTCGTGGGAGGTTTATAGCACAAACCGAAGGCGCCTCTTTTCCGCACTCGTTACGAAATAGTATATTTCGATACAAGTGCGACGAGTTAAAACACCCCGTTGCACGTGTATCCGAATTATATTTTTTGTTAGTGATGTTACGTTTAGCGAGTGCCGAACTGTGCCATTTTTCGTTTACTAGTAAACGAAAAGTCTTTTCGTTTACATGTTTCGACTTTTCGTTTACTAGTAAATGAAAAGCCACTTTTCGACACGGGCTGAACCTAGCAGCAGTGACAAAATATACTATTTCGGCACACTCCGCGTGCCTAAAAGTCCAATTTCCGCCACATTGTGATGAAAAATATTGTTCGTAACTCGTGAAAAAATGTTTTTTAGCTCGTGGGATTATATCACTTGCCTTCGGCTCGTGATATAAACCTCCCACTCGCCAAAAAACACTTTTTTGCACTCGTTACGAAATATACTAATTTCGTGTCACGGGACCTGAAAATTAATATACACACATCTCTGCACCTCGCCATGGAAAACATATCACCCTCCCCCACGTGCTTGCCATCCTCGCCTTCGGCTCGGAAGGCAATCTTGCATGTGGGGGACGGTGATCTCTTTTCCAAGGCATGTAATGTACTATTTTGACACTGCTCCTACGTTCACTTCGTGCCGAAAAATGCCTTTTCGGTGACTCGTAAACAAAACGTAAATGAAAACTCTTCGTTTACTTGTAAACGAAAAAGGCAGTTTGGCCACTTGCTGAATATAACATCACTGTCAAAACATATTTTTCATCACACTATGCGAAAAGGTACCTTTTCCACACATCAAATATCGTTCAACAATCATGAGAAAAGTGTTTTTTGGCTCGTGGGAAGTTTATAGCACGAGCCGAAGGCGAGAAACACTTTCGCATTCGTATCGAAATATACTATTTCGTTCACTCGTAAACGAAAGTAACTGAAAAGTCGTTTTCATCACAATGTCCGTAAAATGACGTTTTACGGACAGTGTGATAAAAAATCGTACGAAGTATGGTGAACAGTTTAATTATGGAACACTCAAGGATCTTCGGAGGTTTATACGATGGTTTGGAAATAAACTATTGTTTGAAGAAATATAAAAAAAAATACTGCTCGATTCCAAATTCAGTAAATTTCAGAAAAAAAAAGAAAAAACACATTATGTAATGAGCAATGATTCAAATGTATTCTCACATTATGAATGGAAATATCGACTTAATTTAGACAAAATCGATTCGATATATATGTAAATATTTCAAAAATCTGGCAAAATATTCAATTGTTACGTTAACTGAGGAGGTTCCGCAATTGGACTGTTCACCCTGATAAACAATGAAGAGTGGCCGTACATATGCGTTTCTATATTCTAGATATTGAGTGATGTTCTGTCGGATGTGACGGAAACTCCCAAAGTGGATATGAGGGACGAGAGTCTGGATCAATCAGCAGTGAGAATACTCACTATCTTGCGAGTGCTGAAATATCAACCCAGTAAAGAACCCGCTCTATTCAGGTAGATCGGCAGGATGCTCCCAAAAGCTTGATTGCAATTTTGAGGAATGAAACTTATAATGAAACTAATGATTTTAGGCATAAAATTAATATTCCTTCTCCACTGGGTTCATTTGAAAGAGGATGAAATTCAGAGTCAATAGTTCATTTTCGCCTTTTGGCTTGGGGCGATAGTTAACTAGTCTAATTATAACAATGTTGACACATGACAACATTATAAACTGCAATTACTTTAACACAGGCACTTTTACACCACTTTTTAAAGAACTCCATCGACGTTTTGGCTAACCCTGATGATGGATCATTTGGATGGCTCCTAAAGGAAACTACGTAACTCAGAGCATATTTCCAAAATCACGTGTTTCAGAGCGATGATGGACAAAACTAAATACTTTTCTATTTGATTGCCAATTTAAATACTAAATATCAATTCATTTAGTACTTAGAAACTTGGGAAAATATTAAATATTTCAATATTTACTATTTTCAATACTCTTAAATATACAATAGTCAACTATTTAATATTTAGGTCTCCCCTAAATACAAAATACTTATCCATTTAACTATTTATTAGTCCTTAGTATCAAGTATTTGTTTCTTTTTTAGCTATGAAAATTTTGTTAGAGGAGGGGGCGTAAAATGAGGAATCTACTATAACTCGAGTGGAAATTCAAATTAGGATAGAATAAGAGACTGACGAGTAAAAAATGATTTTGATCAATTTTGAATCAGAAATGTAACGCTTGTTTAGGTCCATGCCTGGTCAAAATTCTAGGATTCGATCTTCCTGAACAGTACCGGATCCGATACGGATCTAGTCAAGATTTGACTGATCAGAATGGGATCACAATTCACTCCGCCACAATGGATACAGATACTCTATTCAGAATCTCATCAAATCCTGATCGGAAAGCCTAACCAATAATATCTGACCAGTTTGGAACCTAAAACTAATGTAGATCCAAGCTAACTGAGTGAAATTTCCACTCGGTAAGGGCGGCGGGGGGGGGGGGAATAACAGTCAAAAATATACAAGGATCAAAACTGAGGGTCACGAGGATCTGGCGTAAGAGTAAGAGATACTGGTTAAACGAAAGGGTCAGAATTAAGGGCAGTAATAACGTTTGAAATAAAGTGACTAAAGAGTAAATATTCCAGTATTGAATTATTTAATATTTAATTAATACTTTTTGGCCCGTCATTGTCTCAGAGGAGATGACAGGCACCAAGTATCTCAGTGAAAATGTAGCAACACGTAACGCAGGAGCTCTGATTAATCTCTGTTTAGTTTCGTTAGTAGCCTGTGAATAAAATTCAGAGTTGTCAATAATAAGTGGGAAGGTGCTCTCGTCACAGCATAGTCAATATACTTTTGCTAAAAAATTAGCCATCCGCTTCCAATTGGAATTTCTATAAGATGTATTTTTGATTGAATTCAATGATCCATTGAATTCAACATTGTTCCTGCGTTGGTTGTCAACATTGTCCCAACGTTAAACTTTTTTAACCGTCACATTACATTTAACTAGTGGTAAAATAATTTGGGATTCGGAATTAACTTCATGGCTTCATAATGACGAGGCGTTCAGCGGATTATCAATCATATACAATCAATTTATTCAAATAGAAATAAGTAAAGCCCGACGGCCTGGCGCAGTGAGTAAGGCCGCTGCCTCACGTGCGCAAGATTCCGAGTTCAAATCCCGATTGGGTAGAATGGTGAGATTTAACCATTTTAAAGTTTTGATCATCATCGCAATATACTCAATGGAATCGAAGCGATGTAAAATAACAATAAAAAAACAAGAAGAAATAAGTAATTAAAAGTCTGGATCATTATACCATGTGTGACAAATTTTTATGATCAGCAAATTCACGACTGTCAGTTTACATCTAGCGAGGTGATTCTGAATAGCAGGAGAAAGTATGACCGAGATTATAACATGAGAAAATTGACGTCACATGATCGTCACGTAACGGTCACTTTTTTCTGACCTGGTGGATTTCAAAACATGACGTCATTTTGCATCCCGGCTCCCGTAATTTTCGAACTTCAGCAACTCAGGATTCATTAACTATCGTCCGAAGTCAATTGTCGAAGAGAAATTTTCGATTCGGAATTTTATCCTCATTCAGCCCCTAAAATGTTGGTCAAGGTTTTTGGGTCTCAAAACCCAAAACCTGAGCATGAAAACATGAGTCGTCGAAAGTCATGTGTTGAATAGATTAAAGATGTTTTTACTTCCTCCCCTAGACAAAGATTGGTGAAAGGTGATCAAGAAACTATTTACGAGGTTCTAAAATGGTTATTCACCAACAAAGACATTGCCAAGCAACGAGCATATTTGTCAAGATTTCTGGTGAAGGTAAAAAAATCATGAAGATTAAAACGGGGTAATTGTTGAATAGGGTTTTTACATGAACACTAATTCTTAAATCTCATGAAAGTTTAGGCTTTTGGAAACAGACTTTTGGATACTTTTCCGAATAAATAATACATACTTTTCATTGGAAAATGCAATTGGAAAATTCCTTCCTTTGTGACAATCTATGTTATGACATTACATATGCCTGGCCTGCCAGACTAGGGTTAATAACGACATTAAGGTTACGTGACCGAAATCATCAACTCGAATTATGAGAAAATAACTGATATAATCATCGAGAAAACAAATTATTGTTCTCCTGATTGAACTTTCGCAGGAGTTTATCTTGTGATTTGACTTCCTAAACTGAGGAGAGAATCACTCAGAAACATTTTCCCTCCTCGTTTTAAGACCTGGTCTTAAATCCGTCGTTTTCTCATAATGCGAGTTCACGATTTAGTCTCGTGATGTCTTTCATGTGGACTTCAATTTTAACATCCCGCAAAAATCAGGTGGAAGTTCCTCCGGAATACCTCGCAGACCCGGAAACCGCAGCGCTCTACGAGCGCTACGAGAACCTGATAGAAGACTTCAAGATGGTCCACAAAGAGCGTGAAGCCGGTCGAAAAAGCGGTGAGGCAGCCGCAGAACTAAAAACTGACCTAAAAGCCATGGAGAAAGAACGTGAGGTAATATTGGACCGTCTCGAGAAGGTAAAGGTTCGTACGGAGTCAAACTCCCATCTCCTGAAAGCGGCCAACGAACTCCGGCTGGAACGCGACAGGGATCACGAACTGTCTCTCCAAAGAGTTCAGGAAAAGGAAGCAATATCAAACCTTCAGGTGTCCCTCGAACGCGCAGAGCGGAAGCTTCGTCTGCTCCAAGAAGCGGGAGTGGAACTTTCCCCTCAGATCTTGGAACAAAGACTTTCGGAAGAAGTGATGCTGCTGACAGCGGTGAAGAACGAAAGATTACCGTCAGAGTTGGCGACTCTAAAATCTCGAGTGGACGCTCTGAATGGAGTGGCGAATACTTACGTGGGTCCTGACGACATAATAAAGCTGCGACAGAAGCTAGATGTGATAGCCAGAGAAGTCCAAGCCTTAGCCGAGACGAAAGTCAGCGAGGGTGGAACTGACCAGATGGCGCCGTTCAGACAACAAGCGGCGGCCATTGCTGGCGTCAAGAGGAATACGTTAGAGCGTCTTGAGAAGACGGAGCAAAATTTAGAAGAATTGATGAATAAACTGGAGGAGAAGAGGGACAAGACCAAACGACTCGGTCAGGACTCAGTCCCCAAGGGGGAGGAGCTGAAGCGATATGTCACTAGATTGAAGACTAAGAGCGTTCTTTATAAAAAATGTAGAACTGAGCTTGGGGGGCTACGGGCCGAGGCCGGGTTTCTGAGCAGAACTCTTGCGATACTGGAAGGAAAGCTGGGGAAGGTCAAGACCAGTGAGGATGACAAGGAGGAGTTGGGGAGGGAGGGCACTCTGCCGGATGGGTATTCTGAGGAAACGGCGGAGGAGATTAATAAACAGTTCAAGAACGATGTGATTAGTTTTAAGGCGAAACTGGCGCCATTATTGAATGGTGAGTATGCGATGTAGTGCTTTTTGTGATTTTCTAGAATCAGGTTTGGTATCTCTCTAAATAATGAAGAAAGAAGGAGGATGAAAGTTTTCGTGATGCTTAGACAGAGTTATGAGGATCAGGGTATTAAAAGCCATATAAAAAATTTCAAATTTCACTGGTTTTTCGTTGCAAGGGTTAACTTGCCAACGCGGCCATCACCCGAGGGCCTTCAGCCAAGGAATGTTGAATGTGGAGTGGATTTTTCAGTTGAAAATTCCGTGGAATATTCGATTTGAAAATTGTGTTGAATTTTCAGTTGAATATTATGTGGAAAATTATGATGAAAAATTGCTGTGGAATTTTGGCCCGGCCGGGGCTCGAACCTGGGAGCTTGAGGTTGTGAATCTCATGCTGCTACTAAGTGCGCCACACAGCCGGGTTAAAGCTATATATTTTATATATTTATTATTTAATATTTATGTAGATCAAGGCCAAGTATTTAATGGTCTCAGGGGTCAGGATACTAATAGTTAGAGTCTTCTGACATAATTTTTGAGACCTACAAACATGTATTTTTATCAACTTTTCAATTTGTTTATTAACGCACGTATTGTAAATTAGACATTCCTGCAACAATAAAATTGTTATAGGAATCTGCTACATTTTTTCGATACAACCAACATTTGTCGAGTAATGATGTTTTAAACAATTGCTTACTCCAAGATTAAGGTTACTAGATTCACCAGATTAAGCTAGCGTATGATCTTTGCCGCTGGACCAACCGTCATAAAGCATAGGAGAAATTGGCCCAGCGACCAAACGCTGGCATAACCTGTTAAATACAGTAACCTTCCCTAGAGACACCTCCAATTTTGTGTTCTGCATAACTTTTGGAAAAAAAAATTTGTTTTCCTCGCGTTTACAGACATTTCTGAACCTCTTCTACAACATATCTAAAAATCGAACAAAAATAATTTTTGGCCAATTGAAATAGTGCCGAATGCGTCAGAGGTCAGCTTCTTGTACATTCGGGATTTATAGCGGTGAAAGATGAGATAAATGAACGATAATATTTTCCATTAATTTATGTATAGTTTCGAGAGGGATATTTTTGCATCGAAATATCTGTCTTGTGTTATATTCTATTTAGATTAATAGAAAATATCGAAAGGTTACCTGAAGGCCCTTGGCCGATGGCCAGTTGGAGATTCCCGCAGAAATTCGCAAACTTATTTCGTAAAAAAATAAATATGGAATGGTTGTATCTCTGTTATGTCCGGAGATGTTGTCAGCGTCGGAGGACAACTTTCATATTTTAATTTTAATACTCTCGAAACATAATCTAAGAATTATCAATAAAAGAATAATCTGAAGGATTATCTTTCATCTCTTTTAGTTTTTATTATGAGGGCGACGCTATGCAGTCCTTTTCAGGCGTAAAAATAAATTGAATTTTTATTTAGAATCAAAAGATTGATTCAATTTATTATATGTATTTAATCGGCTTCAAAGTTCTAACCAATTTAATATTTAGATGTTTACACGTTTTCAGATTTAGGAAGTTATAATTTTATCAGAACTATAAATTTTACTGTCGGAATTTTAGCAACATTAGTATAAATGACTTTGCATTGATTATTCGGTTTATAGTAATTGATTAAGATTTTACAATTATATGGAAAAATATTCGTTGCTTAAATTAATATATGAATTCATCGGTAAACTAACGATTTCATCACCGGCAACGAAACCATGTGGCGTTACTTTCAATTAGTCTACCCTCTTTCACTCTTGGATAAATAATAAGAGGTTTGTGTAGAATTGAAAAGAAATAAATTGATGGGCCGGTATGAAATGCGAAATAAAATATTGAAGGTCCCTTATATGCAAGAAAAGACACTATTCTCGATTTAAGGATGCTGTATCCCTACGCAAACACGCCCGATAACTATCTACTATTAATTCGATAGGTTACCACGCACAGTATCAACTTAAGCGAATTACTATATGGGAAGAAATGCGAAGGTAGATCGATTTTGTGAACATTTTCCACCAGTAGTTCAATAATTTCGCGATCACTAAGAAATTTGGATTTCTCCTAAAGGGAGAGAAGCCCCCTTTAAGACTCGATCACTCGGGACGAGGAGCGATAAACGACTGGCTGGGTTTTTGATTTAGATTGTGGAAATGAGCATTAACCTCTTAAATTGTGTGGTGCAACGCTTGAATTTTTGCTGATCAGGTAGCAACAGCATGGGCTATGCTAACTGGTCTCAATTCCGTTGAGTTTACGGGTGGAAAATGTATGTGAAAGAAGTAAGATTGGGAAATGACGACGGAAAGTCGGCCATTTCTCAATACTGGATTCACTAATATTTAAGACGATGATGAATTCCCGATAAAATGATGAAGAATTATTTTTGGACGTTACATCTCATAATGAACGCCATTGGTGGGAGCTTTGTTGAACAATATTTCTTCTGTAATAAAAAAACTAGCAGCCACAAAGTCATAGGGAGAGGGGGGGGGAGCGAAGCCTTCCCCTGGATCGCCGAGCGAAGTGAGCTGGTCACTTTGCTCACTTCGCTCGCCAGAACCCCTCTAGTACTGATTAATCTTCCGTGTTGTCAGAACTACAGCCGCTGAGGATCAAGGCACAAGATTTAGAGGACAGATATGAACGCGCTCGGCGGAGTCACGAAGCTGTTGAAGCCCGCGTCAACGGGACAGTTTCGACTCTTTCCGAGGAAGTTAAAACTCTTCAAGAAAATATTGACAAGGTATTCAATATCCACAGGTTGAAAATCAGTAATTCAATGGCATAAGAATTATGAAATTACGATAATAAATTTTTGAATGGTGAGTGTTAGAATTTTTCCATGATTTACCCAATAACATCATGGTAGTCTCCCGCCATGCCGCCATGATTGAAAATGATGATGGTACGATAATTATGGCAATGTTTGCTGCCACGATTTTAGCGACATTATGCATGATAGTTGGAGCACCATTATGTGCAATAGTTTGAGCAATGTTCATTGCAACCAGTGATGCCGCAAGACGAGACGATGCATTTTCTCGTCTCGTCTCGGTGTCAGGAAACCACTCTCTTATTTCGTATCGAAATACGAGAGGAATTTCTTCTCGTCTCGTCGAGAATTGAGAGATTCTCTCTTCTCGTCTCGTCTCGCCTTATCTCGTCTCTATAATCCAAAATGCACAGAAAAAAATACGTAGAGGGGTAAAGAGGAGGAGGCTCTCTCGACTCTCATCTCGCCTCGTTTCTCTCGTTCTCGACTGGCTTTTCTCGTCTCGTCTCGTCTCGTTTCTGTCATTGTCTCGAATGACTCTTCTCGTCTCGTCTCGTCGTGTCTCTCGTCTCATTTGTCTCGTCTCGTCTCTCGCGCATCTCGCGGCATCGCCAAATGCAACCATCAACTTTATCAACATGAGGAGCGATATAAACTGTCATTTCAAGTCCCATTGACAACTGCGTCATTGCTTCCAACCATAGCGGCAGTCAATCGCAATGTAATTGGCTGAAGTATTGAAAAATTCGAATGTTCACCATTTGAAAGTCTATTATCCAAATTTAGTAATTTTTGTACCATTGACTTTCCGATTTTCTATTCTAACTGCTTGAAACTTGGAAACAGCGTTCTGACGTCACCCTGTACGTCATCACGATCTTAATATTTCTGTCATTAATGTAAACATTTGTGTTTCCAGGACAATGCAGAGTTAATGAAGCTGAGGGATGAAATTTCGAAACTTCGATTGGCACAGGAGAGAATTCAACAGGAAATGCGAGTGAGTAATATTCTCATTTTGAAGGATACTTCTGTAATTGACATACGCAATGTTTGTTTAATAGTTGTATGCGAGTCATAGTGGTGGTCCGTCCTTCAGAGACAAGTTAAATGAATCTATCCTCGCTGAGGAGAAGAAATCTAAGCAGTTGAAGGAGGAGGAGAAAATAGTGCGAGAACTTGTGGAGCAGAATGAATATCAAACACAACAGTGGAATCATCTGGTCGCGTAAGTTGTCTCGGAAACATAATCATTCTGGTTGGAATTCCATGAGCTGATACTGATCCGTTTTATTCTAGAATCTTCGAGTGCAAAGTACACTACATGCGGGAAAGCAAGAAACGAGATGGAATTGTAGTGCGTAAAGAAGGCACTGAGACATTAATACTTCAGTAGATGACTACAGACACATTTCATTTTGTCGATAAATGATGAAAAAATTCTTCGATGTCAGTCTTGTAAAGGAATGTCTTTTCGATGTGATCTGGAGTCTGGAGAATTAAGTCGTCCAGGAAATTTATGAATAATCTTGTCTTGTTGTCAGCATATTAGAATGAGAAACCGAACACATAAGATAAATGAAGGCTAAAGAAGAGAAAGAGGCCCAGGAAAATCATGGAATAGGGGGAGGAAAAAAGTGTTCTATTCTGAAAAAGTCAAATGTGGAAAATAGATTATTTCCAGAAGAATCACAGAACGAAGAGTAAATACTCCTTTGAAAGACAAGTAGTTTTTATTTGTTTTGTAATTTCTTTCCAAAGTCTGAAGAAGTTAAAATATTTAGCAATACGTCGCATTCATGACAAATTAACGAACGTTGTGTTTTTTCATTTCTCCAAATTTTTCTTTAATCCCTACTGAATATTTATAAACATGGAAATGAATAACAAAATTGATTAAATATTCAGTTATGCTTGTACTGGGTTACATTCAATAAAAAACATCACGTGTTTGGATAAGCGATGTGAAAATTGTGTACAGTAGACTCTCGCTAGTTGCGCATCGAAAGACTTGTAGGGGTACCTTCGAGAAATCCGCAACTTTCCACCGACCCCCACTCCTGAACCACTGCCGCCTCAAGTTCTCAGAAAAATGAGAGGGACTGAATAGATTTATTTTCGAATAAAATCATTTGGACTTCAGTCCATACGCTGGGGGTGAAAAGATATGCACTATGAGGTCTATATATATGGCTCAAGTTTATTTTTTTTCTGTTTTTGGCTCGTTTTTCAAGAGTGCTGAATGGAATAATTCTGTCAACAATTCTGGGTACTCTTCCATTCTCTCATAACTTTTCGATATCATCACTTCAGAAAAATGATCAACAATGAAGTTCATCACATGGTCCTTTAATTTGCTGGAGTGGGACTCGTGCGTGAGAATCAACAAATCAGCAGCATTCGATGCCTTGAGTGCTTTATAAATGACCATTTCGCACATGGTTTTCAATCGTGGTAGTTGAAACTTGTAAGCGGCTTCTAATAATATATTTGCCCGTCTGTCCAGATCCGTAACTTCATCTGTGTAAATGAATTCTAGCATCGCCTCGACCCCGACCGGCGCTATATGCTCAATTCTCACTTCATTAGTCCGATTGTCCTCGAACATGGCTGCGAAAACAGGACTTCGGGTGGCCAAAATGACTTTATGCGCAAAGAATCTTTCATTAGAGGCGATAACTACCACATCACTGAACTTTGGCTCTTTAAACAGTCGTGCAAAATGTTCAGTCCATCTGTATTTCGCCAAATCATGTTCCATTTCTTCCTTCAGGGATTCTGTGATAGAGATTGGGACTGTAGCAGTTTTCATGGGCATGTCAATTTCAGCACGAATGATGAACGTATCTTCAGGACTCGTCATATTAATGAGATCTGATCTATTCAGGAACTGGGGATCACCGAACAATCTTGGCCTATCATACACGTCCTCGTAGGTTTTATCGACTTTAACTTCGTCGCATTTAATGATTAAAATTTTCCAGTGTATTCTCATTCTCCCCAGGGACTGATAAGCAAGATGGAGATAAAGACTCATATAGTTTTCGTCGTTGTAACCTTGTGGGTACAGGCGTAGTTTCCATCCTGCATCGTTGTTTGCAGTATGAAATTCTGGTGATTCGATGTATTGTCCCTTTTCTTGGGGGAGAAGAGTAAAATCATTTATCGTCCATTCGTAAGTGAGATGCTCTGCTTTCACATCAGTCCGAGCTTTGCTCTTACGTCTAATAGTAGTTACTGTTGATGAACCGACCGGATGGCTTAATGACACCAGAGCAAGAAGGAAGAAAAGTAAGAGTTTTAATGCCATAATTCATTTGGCATGTGTACTCTGGAAATCAAGAATGGGATATTATTAGCATGTTGTTGGGGAATCAAATATGGTAAACTAGGTAAATTGTTACTCCTCCAATCTCAGTTAATGTCCAATTGGGGACGCTATAAATCGCTACGATGTCTGGTGGGTATCGCCTGCACTAAGAAAAATGGCCGTCCGATGGTTTATCATTGGTACTTCAATCAATTACTTTGCAAATCCTCAAGTACTTCGAGTACAACAATAAAAAACAATACAGAAATGAATGAGTCGAAGCGGAACTACTACTGTCAGCTACAATGTGAGGGTTTGAACAAGTTTGAACGGGTAAACTATCGGTCGTCCATGTTATGAGGGCGATCACCACGCCACCATCGGTAAATAGCGGTCCCAATACACCTCAAAGAAAATAAATTCGGAAAAAATTTCCACCAAAAAAAGAAAACAGTACAACGCTAAGATTTCATGTGATGAGCGACCCACTTCATCCGGAAATGCAAAACATATACTTCCTTTAAGTCAATCAAATTTTCCGTATTATGCCTGGGCTATTTTACTCGGTCAAACCTTAGATGTTTTTTTAAGGTACAAATTACAAAGGAAACCAGGATGCTATATGCTATCTTTCGACTTTCCGAACCTCCATACGAGGGAAACAATTAAATCATTAACAATGCACAAATCAAAAAAATTCGCAGGCACATGCAGTCGAACTCAGGTGGGGTATGATCCCACATCTCCAGTTTGCCGGACTGATGCTCTGTCAATCAAATTTTCCTCTCAACTCGTTCTATGAGTCATAAATAATATTCCTTAAAAAATTGATTTTTATATGCTTTATTCACGTTAATAAAGAATTCAAAGTTGATCACATAAATGTACGCTACCGAGACCAGTACATTGTGCACCACAGTTACTAGCCTGCTAACGTGTGGGAGACGGTGCGCGACGCCGTTAGGAGAGTGAGTGAGACATAGCATCTTCCGGGGTCTTTTCAGCTGTGACGTCACAGTCCGCTCGTGATCTTCAGAAAGTGCACTTTTCAATTAACGATTTTTCATTGAATAATGAGTGATTCCACCTCAAATAAGTAGTTTAAAAAAATTGATGTCTCCGATTATGTTCGTAATGGTTTCCCTGGATTCGATATTATTAGATAAGGCTTCAGTTAAAATTTTAGTCAAAGATTATTGTTTTTTGTACAAACTATGATTTTTTAAAAATTTTGCGGTTTTTTCACTCGTAAAAAAACGTTCCTATTTCCTCTGATAACAGGGCTACCTTCATAAGTACCGAAATTCCATACTGCGGAGCTCATAGCATAATGAAAAACCTTCAAAATGAGTCCAACAAAAAATTATGTCATGCGTTTTTAGCGACGTAATGGCCAAAACAAGTTTTTTCAAAAAACGTGAATTTCAAAACATCATCATCAGTTATTTTCATAATTTCCATTTTTCCGTCCGTTTTCCTTAGTTGTTTTCAGAACTTGTATGGATTCAGTGCTTGGCACTTCATCACTTTTTTAAACAGAACACTCGGAACCCTTCTTGGCGAGTTTTTTTGCAAAAATTTATTTTTGTTTTTGGGGAGATAAAATCTTCGGGACGTCGCCGTTTCCTATTTTCCGGGAACATTTTCGAGTTGGAATCGAACCCACATCCCGGAATACTGATCTGTATTTATACTTTCCGATAAAATTAAAGTTGCTTCAACTTGCGATATTGGAGCGGGGTAAAACGGACCGTCTTTTATCATTGGTAACTTGAACAGGGTTGAGTGATTTTTTTGTTTCATTCTTAAGTTATTTTATGATTATTAAATCTAAGACTTGAAACATCGAAATCGTGTCATTTGGTCAAGAGATATTGAAAGTTGAATCTGGTCCATCTTACCCCACTCTCCACTAACAATTGAGTGCTAAAATTATAAGCAACTACCAATAAATTATCTTTGATCACTTACTTCCTGAGATGCTGTATGCTATACGGTCAAAGTTGCTAAGCAGACTGTGCGAACAGAGAGTTGGAATTTTAATTTTACGCAATCACCACTTCTTCACTTTATGCTTATCATCTCTACACAGCCATTTTCCTCACAAAATAAAAAGTGTACTCAACTTTTGAACTGGCGAACTCTTCACATACATAAAATTTGCCCTTTGACTACAGGATGATAAGAAAGTTGATTGATGAGTTTCCTCTCCATTCGTACTTACGGTTACAAATGATGAGTAATAGAAGACGTATAAAGGAAACATTTTTCAACTACAATTTTATCATCATAAAATGAATCAATAACTTATCTGAAATATTTTTCATAACAAATTTATTTTTTCATTTGTCAATGAGTGAAATTTTCTTTATAAGGGTTCATGGAAAGGAAAAAAACTTCATATAAGTTTCACATAATCTGTAGTCACTTGAAATTGCTTATGTCCAAATACCAAAGGATGTTTTATCTAGGGAAAATGACGCTTCGCCTTTTATTTAATACATCATCATATTATCTCGCAAGTCGTCTTAGGTATAAGAGCGAAATGAATCTGAGAGCTTACACAGTGTCTGCTCTCGATCTCAAAGTGGATTAGGCGAAAACAAATTTCGGAAGTAGTTCGTTTTCAGTTTCCGCCGCATCTTCCTAGAACTCGATTCGCACGATATTCGCAATGTCAGCACTCTCTCAGCATTTAGCTCTAAACTCTATTCTCATCTCCTTGCTGAACAGAAGGGAAAAATTCTAGTCACGTACGGATAGATTCAATTTTCTTATTAGATAACTTGCGTATTCATACTGGTGTATTTTTGATAACTTTGAGTTAGTGAATATAAAGAAAACAAAATAAAGTAAAACCAAATAATAAAAACCAAAAAAGAAACAACAATAATAATAGTACATAATTCTAAGGAATTTTGTGATTAAAACATTAACCCTCGATCACTCGCGCTCGGCCGCCAGCCTTCATCCGTCGCACGGTTAGCGCGGCACAGCTGGGTTAAACCGACCGCGCTGTTGCCACCTTGGCGCTTACCGCTATACACGCATTCCACGGGTGCCGGCGAATGTAGCAACGCTGTCGCTCGAGGAGTTGACCGGAACTCACTCGCACCGGTCGGCGCGGTGCCGTGTTTCTGTCCGTTCGACGTTTCTTTTCTTCTTTTAGCTAAACAAATTTCCCGAGAAAAAAACGGATAACGCCAACGCTTAATAAAAGGTTTGAACTAGGAACTCTAATTTCTTCAGAATTTTTCAGCGTCGAGAAACACGCTAAAATATAGAAAAACGAAAAAGGGCGGCGCCGCGCTCATTGAGCGAGTGCTCAAGGGTAAACAACTATGGTCTTCTCGGTCTGTAATTAACAATCAGTAAATATTAAATTTGTTCTTCACAACAATTCTGTCTCAAAGAGGTATTTTATGCTTTGAAAAAAAAATGTCTTCAACGTGTAATCAACATGTAATCAACGAATTACTTATCGATTGAACCGGAAAATGACCCCTGTTGAAATTCATGACGCTTAGATTTACTGAGATTTTTGAGAAATTGCTGTATCTCGGAAACTACTTGACCGACTAAGCTGAATTTGCGCCCACAAGTATTCCAAAGTAATACCAATTATGTGCCGAAATCTCAGATTTTTAGTTTCAAATTTAGTGCTTTTTCTGTGAAGATTTATAAAATATTTTGTGGACCTTGTGATGAAAATAACTATTTTCTAGCCGATTATCCTTTTCTGGGTCTTTTTTCATTTCCTTTTCATAATAATAATTGGAATCCGATCTTAGGAATGTGACGAATCCTTTTACCATATAAGGGGAAAAATATATTTAAAAAATTTTTAGGAATGCATGGAGAGATTTTTGTATTATCCGAATGAGATTTCGAATGCCCTTTGTTTTGATGACAAGAAAAAACCATTTTGATTGATCTTTAACATATTTCCGCTTCATTCAATGTTATAACTTGTGAATTAGGAACAAAATATATATAATAAGAATAAGAAGGGATAAAACTAAATTAATCTAATTGTAAAGACGGTAATGGAAAGAAAACAAAATAAAATAAAATAATGTAAATTTATCTAGCCACGGGCGCGAAGCGCACGTGCGCTAGTGCAATCAATGATTTATAATGATGTTTATGCGCATTGAAAGTAAACCCACCAAAGTATTTTTATTCTCATTTTTATTCAACCGCTAACACATATTTCTGTTTTTACAAAAGTTTACAAAATATATACATTTTAGTGTAATCATTTTGAAATAATGTACGCAGGAAATTGTCCTTAACTGTCATGTTCTTAACGTATTTCGATTGAAAAAGATATGTGATGACATTAATTTGGAATTTATATAGGATGTTTATAGTTACAGATATAATGAATTGAATTTTTCTAGATTGTGCGTTCAAGTTATTACCAATCAAAGTTGCCTTTATACATGGACTCTCCTAGAGATTCTTCTGTTAAGTACGAAACTGCGTTGGCATCTGAATTGATAACAGTTTCGACTAACTGTACAAATCACTATAAGGGTCCACTTATAAGAGATTAACTCTTCTCTCATACTTAATACATTATAACCGAAATCTAGAAAAATCCTTGAAAAAATCAATGCATAATCAAGTTATTAAGTAACTACAATGAACGTCCTGTACATATTTTGAATCAATGTCATTTTCCTTTCTTGGATGAAACTTCTTAAATTATGGAATAATAAGAAACTCATTTGAACTCGTTAACGAGGGAACCAAGTTAAATTTGAAAGTTCGATTGATGAAAATAGATATAGAGCGACTTTTGAGATATCACCGGCTATCTAAAAAACTAAGAAAATTTCTTTATCCAACCCATTTTACTCCGTATGTCAGACGAAAACGTTTTTCGTGTTTTTGGCTTTGAAATGCTCTTCGTACCACAATTTTCGCCCGAATAAAACTTTTTTTTTCAAAATGTTCGTTAGATTTCATAGAATAAAAGGACGTATTTTTTCGATTATCTCAATCAGATAGAAAAATTATTATTTTCTCGGGTTACTCATTTTTTTTCTTCTTCCATACCGCATAAAAATCATTATTCTGAGTAGTTGAACATCAAAATAATAAATAAAAGATGTTTTCAGGAGAAAAATTATAAATATACGTTTTTGAAATTGACAAAAATCTTTAGTTGACGAAACCGAGAAAATTTAGTTTTTCTATCATCTAATTGAGGTAATAAAAAAAATCCCTAGTTTTATTCTATGGAATCTACCGAAAAGTTTAAATCGGATGAAAAAAATGGGTTGGCTACAAAATTTTTCTTAGTTTTTTATGTATCCCATGATGTATAAAAAATCGCTCGATAGGTATTTTCATCAATCGACGATTTTTAAATTTCACTTGGGTCCCCTTTAATGAAGGATAAACTCGAAAGTGGAACTGCGATATACTTGACGCTGACAACAGTTCTATATAATCCTAAACTGGAACTTTATGACAATTCTTTACAGATTTTCCAAGTAAACATGAAGCAGGTCAGCACAGCCGCAGCAGTGAGTAATGAATATTTAATGGCTTTGGAGGATTTAGCATCTGATTCCTATTAGAAACGAAAAGAATTGTGTTAAATAAAAATTATGAATAAATAAAATTAAGTGTAATATGATACAATACATGACTTCAAATTAATTTCAGTAATTTATGCATCAAACTTCATGGTTTATCAGTGCAAACAATAATATAAATCCTAAAAAAGGGGATTTATAGGATTTCCACACACAGGTCCGATATTATTCAGTCGTGTTTTGGTGTTGTAATGAATTGAGTCTCTGAGACGAGTGTCGAATTGTTACTTGTGTGATGATTTGGAGATTTCCCAACTATTTAGACACAATTAATTATTTGCAATATTTTGCTGGTTGAAGGGCAGCGGAGGAATATGGTTCGTCTGAAAAACATTAGTCACGTTATCGTAGGGTTGTTCGTGTTGTTTTAGGTTCTTCTCGTCGGGAGCTGAAGCACCGCCACGTCCTTGACGTGATTCCTGGGTTAAAAGCAAAGAGCGGTTGCTTTCACAAATGAGCAATTTTATGTTGTGGAGGAGAGAAATTAATTCGTCGTAACCCAGACCAATCTTCTGGTCAAATTTGGGTTCTTCAACTTTTAGTAACTCCATAATTATCCATAAATCAATACTTAATAACAGAAACGTACCAGACATTTCGAACTTTCATATCAGACAAATCGAGATGGGTATTGTATCAATTTACCAACTTTAGATACTTTTCATGTATCTGAATTTGTCCTGAGAACGAGTGGTTTCATAAGAAAATGTTAACAGAACTTTTAGAAAGATGTGAAAAATTTGAATGATTCGATATTACAATTTTACTTTTGAAATCATCATACCTCATTAATAAACGATGATAATTCCTTATACTGACGCTCCACTCGTTCCAAATCCCCCAGAGTACTCTTAATCGCCATAACAAGAGCCTCGCTAGCTCGTTCATTCAAATTCCTGTCAATGAGATAATCCCCTGATGATTCCATCAATTTCCTACGTGAATATAATAGAAATGTGTCGATGAGATACAGTTGCTGTCTTCCCTTCTTCAAGATATCCAATATTTTTCCAATTCTAGAAATATAAGATCCATAGTTAGTACTGTAAGAACTAAAATCATGAGTGAGAAATAATCTACAATTATAATGTTTTCAGTACTTCTCTTCATCATGGTCCCCAATAGGCTCGATCTTCCTCACTTTAGACCTGAACTGCTTCTGTAATTTTTCAGCTAACTCCTCACTAGCTCCAAGCACCACTAAATCCTCTTTTGATAATTCTGGAAGAGCATCTGTTGGAATACTTCGTTTTTTGAACTCTGGGATCAAATCTTGAGCGTTCAGGCCTTCCAGAATCATTGCTGTGTGCTTGGTAAAACCCAGGGGATCGGCCTCCTCCATCTTAATTTAGTATATCAACTGAAAAATATTCGATTAGTAGAAACAAAATATAATAGAATACTAAACAAGTGGGGACAGCCAGCATGTGACAGTGAGCATTTCACTGAGTGATGTCTCATTTTTTTCGCCATCAATTCATTACTGACCGTCACAGTTAAGCTGCGTTAGACACGACACAAAATGACCAAAAATGGTCTAATAGTTGCCAATTGACCATCATTTTTTGGGTCATTTCGATCCAAAACTTCGATCAAACTTTGATCGGAAAACTTTTTAATAGAATTCAATTATTACCACTGATTTTCTTTATCAATTATTATTAATGGCCCGTTATCAATTATACACTGTGAGAAAAAAAATATGGAGAAATAGCATTTAAAAATTTTTGAAAATTTTCGACTAAATCAAAATAACGATTATTGCTATCGCCTTCATCTTTGAACCTGGTCAAAGAAAATGACGCTGAAGTTAGCAGCCGACTTGGCAGCGAAAGTTCAGGGCCGTAGCAAGGATCTGTGGGGCCCCATACCTTAATACGAAAACTGAAAATTGTTCCTATTTAAGTTCTAAATTCCGAAATGATCTGGAACAGCCTCCCCATTCTCCACAATCTGATCAAANCAGCCTCCCCATTCTCCACAATATGATCAACCCCCTTTGTTCAGGCCAAGGGGGTGGTAGGGAGATGAAAATCTCAATTTTTGTCTTTTTTTTGGGAAGAAAAAATTTTGTGCACCATAAATAGCCAGAACCACCAGCACATTGTTATAAAAAAAGATTAAACGAAACACCCTCGACCCCCAGGAAAATGATCAAGTCTTTCAGATTGGTCCAAGGGGGTGCTAGAGGGTGGAGAAATGAAATCTTCGCGTTTTTCAGGGGGAAAAAAATTCTCCGACTCATAATAAAAAAAACCACAAATAAATGTTAATGGAAAAATGCTCAGTGCAACTCCCCCTACCCCCAGAAAAATCATCAAGTCTTTCAGAGTGGACCAAGAGGGTGCTAGGGGGTGAAAAAATTAAATTTTCGCGTTTTTCGGGCGAAAAAAAAATC